AGCTCGGAGTCTACTCTAAGTTAGGGGTGATTAGGCCATAGTCAACCACGCTGGCCAAGTGCGGGTTGACTTCACACATATATTTTTGAATTTATTCGCAGATATGTGCAGGTTGCATCACGATGTTTACCTTCACCGTAAGAACGTCAGATAAATGTACATATGTAAATCGGTTTTAAACAACAATTTACTAGTTATCTAAAAGACGTTAGTTAGCTATATTGCCTAACAATATTAGGACCGGTTTGTTTTAACACGTCTTTTTTATGGTCACAATGTAAACAAATAAATATTTTAGTGTTAATTAAAGTTATTTTAGTAGAGAATATATTTACATTTGACTCTATTTTATTGATCGTATCACGTTTTTATTTTGCAACTAGCGTATCGCTTTGTTTTTGTTTAATTCATTTTAAATACATAAACAAATTTGGTTATTTATAATTTGGATTGCAACATCATTGGATACATAGATATTTGTAGGTATATAGAGATATTATGTTTAGACTAAATCCTCGCCATTTTAGTCTTCATTAAGTTTGCTAAAAAGTGCGATTAGTCATTAATAATTGACGTCACAATTATATTATTATTTTTCTTATTATAAATAAATTTAATTATTAATTCAATTTAGATTTTCTTAATCGACAACGAACGTTTTTATACAAATGATTTTTCTAGATAACAAAGTTACGTAACAATTTAACTGTATACTTGTATGACAACATATTTTGGCGTACATTTGAATTTTAATCGATTTAATTTCCGTCTTTTTTTTTCGCAGATGGCGGCGATGACGAATGCAAGAGAACATAAAAACTATCGAATGTTGTAGTCAATTCCTAAATTAAGCCAATGCATGATATGACCGACAATTCATGTAGTTACTAAAAGATGAATGATGATAACATTAAGTTGATTTTGATACAGTTAATGTCGCACTATTCATCGTGGAATAAAGAAGCAATAAAAAATTCTTTTAAACGTAACAAAACGTACGTCTTACTTCTTATTCTTTACACAATCAATACAAATAAAAGAAACGTAGAATATAAATAACTGTAAACCTTCACCGGTGGCTGTTCATTGGACTCGCATTAGAAAAGATTAGTAAAGGCGATGACAAGTCACCACGGTAACGTTACGCGGAATCACTTTAATTACTACTCATGACGTCATATATACCACATGTTAGATATATTAGTATACTAGCTGTCAAGTGCGACTCCGTCCGCATCGAGTTTAAAAATAGCCTATGGGTTCTTCCAAACTATGTTCTATATCTATGCCAAATTTCATCAAGATCCGTTAAGTCGTCCTTGGGGATACCTTCTAAAAAACGTCCATCCATTCATCCATCCAGACATTCGCATTTTTAATATTAGTAAAATAGGCTACTATGGATATAGATGTTAGTCAAGAATTGAGATTTTTCATATAACATAGTTAAATTTTGTCAAAGAGTATAAGAAAAAGGACAAATTGTTTTAACACATATTTCTTGTGGAAATACTCAACAGACTTGCTTACCTGACTTTAAGATTGTGCAGTACAGCGGGTTCATGTAGATAGGACAATGATGTGAGGTCATTTTCTCCAATCAAAAGTGAAGGGTTTCGTAAAGGTGGCATTTGATTTTCATCTTTAATCTAAAAAAAAAAAAATTAATACATCAAGAAAGTGCTAATTCATTTTCTGTGTCTCCATTATAGTAATAAATTAACACATTCACTTCCAGTAAAGTTTTTCACGGTAAGTTGGGTTAGCCAGCAGTGCATGTATTAAAATTGTATAATATTGATACAGTTTAAGCTTACCTTTATCTGTCTTATTTCTCCAGTCTGATCAATCTTTACAATGAGCACTCCTGAACGATAGTCTGATGTTACGGTGGCTCCTTCCCATACTTTAACGGGGTGCTCCACCCAAACCCTGGCATCCTACGAAAAAATTAAATCCATGTAAATAAAAAAACATAAAAACTGATAAACTTCCAAAATTTAAAGTTTAACATCCACTTTGAGATTCTATTATGTATAAAATAATCTTAATAATATTGGTCTCCCTTAACCCTTAGTAGCCTGACTTACATACGAAAGTGATTTATTTTTAATATTACTGTGTTGTGCTTGATAAAATAAAACAATAATGAAATTAGTTTTTTTTTTTTAATTTCGATGGAAAGAATATTATACAACAGAAAAATAGGTACAGCCAACCTATAAAAATACTACTATACTACTACTACTATACTATAAATAGAACATTCGGTTTAAAAGATTGGTATCAAAATTGAAACTCTAGGCTAATAAGGGATAAATTTGTCAAAGCAGTATAAAATACAAGTAGTCTATTAAATGCCAGCATCATAAACCTTCTCATCAAAGTCCCTCCAAAATCAGTCTGGACATTATGGAGATTACTAACAAAAACGCTGTACAAAGGACATACAGATAAAAATTTAGAAAATTTGTTTTTAAATTTTTAGCAATATAAATACATAATATAAATGAAATATATATTTTTTCTATGTTACATACAATTTTATTATAATGACAAACAAAATGACTCATGACAGATCAATCATAATAGCTTCATTCATGTTTGTTTGATAAATGTATGAATGAATTGCATTTAATAAGTCAATGACTGTAAGGGATGACATGTCCTCATTATACAGTTTACAGTTATATTTTAATAGTGGTCATCCACAACACAGTCCATACAGAATTAAAAAAAAAACTTAATTAGTGACCTATGTGTTCTTCCAGACTATGTTCTATATGTATGCCAAATTTCATCGAGATCCATTCAGCCATTCTGTACATACCTTCAAACAAACATCCATCCATCCATCCTTCTAACCATTCACATTTATAAAATTAGTATGATTATCTCTGACCAGCCTTTTAGCATTAGTCATGAGGATATCTTATTAGAGTGCTAGAAAGACAAGAAACTAAAATTCAAAAATTTTAATGAACAAGGTTCAGTTAGATTTCGTTGATTTTGAGAGCATCATGACATCTTTATGGTATTTATTGTATGTGGGTAGCTATAAATATAAAGGGCAAAGCATCAATTTACATGACACATTTTATTGTTTGATATTTATCTTGATATTTTCAATAGCATAAGAATCTGACTAACAAGATTAATAAGTCTATTTTTTTTAATTTGTGGGTAGAATATAATTAAATTTACTATTTGCTACTGCTATATTACAAAATTACATTCAAAAATCATAAGACCAAGTCTTGGTTATACATATAATATTACTACACACTAAATATTCATAAAAACTTGTTTGATTTGCATAAATTGTTGATATAAACCACAGATGTCTAAAATATTTACAAAACAAGAATCTAATAAGCTGAATAAATATCAACACATTACATTTCAGAATTAGGTAATCAAGTTAATAGCATTTTTTTCAAATTTTAAACCTTATGTAACTTTAACAATTTGAAAAATTAAGGATTTTTAAATGTTTATTCATTCTATTCCTTAAAATATTGTTTATTTTTTGACCTTAGAGTAATAATCACTAAATATGTCTAAAGTATATTACTATAAAGTAATCTGTTATTTAAAAATATTTTTGCTGACAAGTACTTCAAATTAAATATTAAAAATTTATATATTTTTCTAAGAAAACTATTATTGGAAGGGTTAATTTAACTATTGTACATATTTCGTAAATATCTCAATGATTAATCTAAAGAAATAATAGGACTGGAATGTGACACACTATGCAAAGAAAAATTGTAATGCACTTTCATCTGATGTAATCAATAATAATTATTTTAGAAAAAATAATGAAGGACTTTCAAGAAAATATTGTGTGATTAAACATCGCAAGCATAAATTAACTTGGTTCTAAATTTAAAAATGCCCTTAACTCTAAACAGAAAATTAAACAAAATACAATCAAAACACAGTATCACAAAATTACCTTGGTGTATAATTCTTTTGTCGTCATTTTTATAGATTCACAATACACCAACTTAATATATTAACAAATTATCACATTTACATTATTTCACCACGGGTTCAGGCTTTTGAAAATTCATTTTAGAAATAAGGTAGATACGAAATCACTATTAAAGTTTTTCCAATACGAATTGCGAAACGTCACTGCATTGTTATTGACATATGTCAAGTGGTGATGGTGAATCAGGGACAGCCGTTCAATAATCTCGTGTCATGTAATTTTAGTGTTATTTGGGTCATTTCTTTAGACAATAAAACCAAACTGAATTTCAAGTAATGTATTATTAAGCGTAATATTAAGATGTATTTAAAGAATGTTTTAAAAGGTTTGTACTTTTTCTAGCAAGATTTTGTTAAAAAAGATTGCCATATAAAATTATTTAAACACAGAATAAAAATTGGTCACAAAATTTTGAAAATCCTAAAAATTCTTGTTTATATACAGGAAGGAATATATTACATAAAGGAAATAATATAAACGAAGTATTAGTTTTTATAGATTATTTTATTTAAGCAATGATTCTTCAATACAATGCAATAATTGTAGGGGAAAAAAGATTTTTTCTAGAATATATAATTAATAGATAATTTGTCCCAAGATGTGTGTCATAATATCATATATTAAACATTTTCAAATTTGTCCAAAAACGGTTGTATGCCTTTTCTTCATAAATTAACTTTTTAACGTTTATTTGTTTTCTTGGGAAGGAAACCACGCCTGACATGCTTCTGTTGCAATTTCACATAACGCTGTGAATGTTTTGCTCCTTATTTCATATTCTGAAACAAAAGAATAAATATTTTAAGATACCAACTACATGAAAAATTTGCCAACACATGTAGTTTTATGCAAATATTTAATATTGAATGAAAGGTTAGACAAAATAAACTTTTTTTAATTGCGACTAGATGTCAACTTTGACTGGTATGAAGAGCCTGGAAGAATCAGTGAATGTAATTAAAAATAATACAATTAACGATCAGACAATATTTTCTTACCGGAAGGTACCCTTTTACCGAACATGATTCCATTCATTGGTGCGTTTTTGTAGTTGGCATGGCTCACTTCAATCATAGAAAACAAAATCGCCGCCATGCAAACCAACCAGACAGTAAATTTCAAGGTATGTCCAGCCATCTAAAACATATATTACAGCGTTAGCATGTTTATTTTTTAAATTTTACAAGACTACAAATATTAAATGAAGTGTCGATATATTACTTTAAATTATTGGTTTCGGGAACTTGAAATATTTTAACTGTCAACACTGTAGAAGCTTAAGCTTGACTGATGCTGGGAAGCTTTCTTTACCCCGTTTTATACTAAACTGTTGTCCGTACTTCTCATCCCAAGAGTAAATTCAATTAACGGATTATTGAATACTGACCGCATATTGGCAATCTAAGGAGCCGTACTCTTTGGGGATTATAACTTAGTTGGAAACCATGATAAGAGCTTATTTGAATTATCCCTTCTTATGGGCACTTACTAAATTTACATATGTTTTGGAAAGTTTTATGCATTTAAATAAGTCCATTTGGGATATTAAATATTTTGATTTTAGTCGAAAATTCAATAATTAATTGTATATGGTTTACGCATTTATTATATTTCTTATCAGCATTAAATTGAATCATCTTTTTAATGGGCGATGTGAGATGAGATACAAATTTAATATTGGTAGTCGTATGAAAAGTATTTTCTTCCATTACGATGTTCTAAATCAATACTAACTTCATTAAAATGAGGCTTGCTCTTTAGTATAAAAGCTAGGAGCTAGACTACAAAGCTATCACAATCATCTCACAACTTCCAGTGTTACCATCAAAAGCTTTATACATTTAAGGTAGTTGCTTATTAGAAATTATTACATCGCACCCTAATTTGCCTTATATAATGTGCTATGTGAATTCTTTTGAATATTATATTAAGAACTTGTCCTTTATACTCTTTAAATTTTGACAGAATCCAAGATGCGCGCAGTTGTTGTTTTTTGCCTCATCGCCATGATCATTTGTCTGATCACTCCAACTGAAGGGAACTACAGGAAGCCACCTTTCAATGGATCCATTTTTGGAAAACGAGGAAATACAGGTAATTTGATAATAATGAAAAGTTATAACCATTGTTAACAAATAAAATACACGACTATCTGACAAACTCCGAGTCGTTAAGTGGTCAATGTTGTCTTTATTTAAGATTTTGCACACGTTTATCATTCTTTAAAGGTACTTTTTAACATTTCAGAAAACGATGCAACTGAAAGGGCCATGTCAGCGCTCTGCGAAATTGCTTCCGAGACTTGCCAAATGTGGTTCTCCCAGACATCAGAAAACAAGAAATAAAATGTGTATAATGTCTTATGTTTCACGCAATGAAAGTCTTAATATCCTTCAAGTTTTTGCAGTGTGATTTTAAATTGAATGAATAAATCGATGTAACCAAAATACATTATTTATTGACAAAAATACCCTAATATGTTACTGTGCTTCTCCACCGTCAAAACACAAGTATCAAAACATTTTGTCATCCCTCTCATTCTCTTTATATAAACAGAGGCAACAATGCTTTTTAATAGACACATATACAAGTGTTACGGCAGTAGTATTTCACTATTACAGAAACTCAAACAATTCACCAATTCACAAACAAACATTTAAATTTTTTACTGTAATTTTTACTTTGCTATTTGTTTTCATTTTTTACCATGAGGGTCATAAATTGTCAGCAGGTGCAGCAAATAACAGTTTAAATTACGATAGATATGAAACCGGCATTACGTAGAACGGAACGTGCGTTTGCCTGTTCTCTATTACGGCAGATCACATATATTTATTTACCTTATCTGTGGCTTGTCTACCACTGGTTGATAAATCAAATAAGCAGAAATAAGCCAATATCCAATTAAAGTTAGTTTATGTGGTTTTGAAATCGGAAACACGACATCGCCTAATGGTGGCTGCTGTTCCTTGGCGTTTTACATGTGTGGCAGATTAAATTCTTTTATCGGTTTCGTATTGATAAATTATATCAAGGTGGTTAAACCACTTGATGTTAATTAATGTGTGACTGTTATTAAAGAAATTGTTACGTCGTGCTTTGTATTGTGATTTGAAAAATCTGAAGCGAGGTAAATTTGACGCAAATTACTTATTTTTATGCTTATTTTATCGTTGAAACGAATTAGGTATGCAATTAAACATTTCTTGAGGTAGTTGTTTATGTAGTGGCCATAAGATATTTTTATATTGTGTGCTTTAGTAGTGTCAGTGGAAAATTTGTTGTACAGTTTAAGTGTATTTAAATTATCAGCACATAGAGTTAGTAATAATAAACATGTTTTCGGTTATATAAAATTCCCTGAACTTGTCCCTCAATTTTGTACCTTGAGGTTATGTGCACAAGCAGAGCTCACAATGATACGTTATCAGTATCAAACAAACAGCCAGGCAGTTGATGCTCTAATAATTATCGTGATTTTACTTTACAACTCGTAAAAGGTATTACATTTTCCATAATAATATTATTTATATCGTTTTACGTCTCGTTTTTTGTATTCGGAATAGCAAACAACAGTGTAAGTTGTGTTTTATGTTTGAAAGTGATTTGAAATACAGTGGGTGATGAAAAAGTGCTATTGTTCTCTCTTTTCAGTTGTGAAAATCAGGACATCTGTGGATTCAAGACTAGCCATGACCATGTCAGTTGGAATAGAACCGCCAATGAAAAAGATGAAAACTATTTTAGACAGTGATTTTAACATGAAAACAATTGATAAGTGTATAGAAGATATTGAGAGTTCTAAAAATAATTTGGAACCTGTATTAGGTGAAGATTTTGGTGAAACATTACAATTAGTTAAAGTGTTTGTTGGTATCACTAAAGATCCTAAAGATTTGTCAAAAATTGTTACAACTCTGAATGAAAAAGTTCCATTGAAACAGTTACAACATTTGAAAAGAGTAAGAAAAAAGCAGGTAATATTATGCCCAGCGAGTTATATAATTGGAGTATCCTCCATACAACAATTTATAGAAAGTACTGTTGTGGAACTAAAAGATTCATTTCAATATTTCAAAGAAATGGATGTACCACTTACGGGTCCTAGGTTACAAAAACAATTCAAGGAGTACAATAAAATATGGTCCTGTAACTTTCATCCTAATGCTTACTTAGAGAAACTTACAAGTGGGGATTTTTTTAATTCAGTGGATCTTAATTATCATAGAACATATATGAAGATGGCCTTTGAAGTATCCAGATGGTTCATACAGCACAGTAATATAACAAATTCTATTGAGGATGTCTACAGAGATATAAACGGAGCGATAGTAGTTGATCCTACTATACAGTCAGTGGTGGCTGTATCTTTTGATAATCGTGAAAATAATCCTATTCAACATTCTGCAATGTTAGCTATAGATAATGTCGCAAAGACTCAAAATGGTGGTGTGTGGTTCGAGACTGATTATAAATCTAGTGGGACACATAGTGTTAGTGATGAATTGTTAACATATTTAAAATTTAAATTTCCCAGTGTTAAATTCGGTTCAAGAGAATATATTAGTAAAAGAGACAATGCTAGTGATGAATCTAGTAAGAATTCAAATGACGGACCATATTTATGTACTGGTTATTATGTATATTTAATAAGGGAGCCATGTTTTATGTGTTCTATGGCGTTAGTGCATGCAAGAGCGAAGAGAATATTCTTCTGCTTAGATAATATTTATTTTGGTGCGTTGAAATCAAAAACTAAACTTCAGACTAAATCATCTTTGAATCATCATTTCGAAGTGTTTACTGGTTTTTTATAAATTGTTACTCAGACTAATTAATATCAAGATTGTCTTTAAATAAAGAGTTATGCAGTTAAATGTTATTGAATTAAAAAAGAAAATAGCTGATTATATTTAAATACAATTAATATAAGGAGCGTCGGTGGCTCAGTGGTCAAGCATTTGAGTTGCAATCTGCAGATCCTAAATTTGAATCCCGCCATGTACCAATGTGTTTTTCGATTTCCGATTTTACATATGTACATTTATCCTACGTTCTTACGCTGAAGGAAAACATTGTGATGCAACCTGCACATATCTGAGAAGAAATTCAAAACATATGTGTGAAGTTAACCAACCCGCACTAGGCCAGCGTGGTTGACTATGGCCTAATCACCCTGAACTTAGGGTAGGCTCCGAGCCCCTCGGTGGGGACGTACAGTGAGCTGATGATGATGATGACAATTAATCCACTTCCAAAACTTAATGTATTTATACAAAGGGGAAATGTAATATTTTGTTAGTTATTCATATTTGATAGGTGAGTAATGATTTTTGTGGTTATGTATCATATAATTCTTCCTAAAGGGTATCTTTTGAAGCTTCCATTCCCTGTAATATATAATAATATATTGACCTTTTTTGTTTTTAAATTTGCTTTTTTCATGCTTAAGCCACTTGTTCCTATATGATATCATACGATATTTATAATTTTTTTTTTGTAGTTTTTTTGTAAGTTGGTCTAATAGTATTCATAATACTAGATTAGTCATAATATTGTTATATTTAAGTTTGTAATATTAAGTGCTTGAAGAGAATAAACTTATTTTATTAAAAAAAATAAACGAAACTTTTTTTTCTTTGTCTTTTCTTCTGATAAAAATATAAAAAAAAGCAATATTTTTTAACTAAGAACCCAACCCGGGTTTTGTTCATACTGTTATATTGCAGGTTTTTTACTTCCTACATAAAGCAGTGGAATGTTTAACTGTAATTTTGTTTTTTGTTAGTTTTTTTTATTTTAGTTTTTAATAACAAAACTATATTGAATATCTTTTAGTATATTAAAAGACGAGTTAAAATAAATGCAAGCCTAGTTTCCTCGTTTTGTATATTACAAAAACAAACTGCACTGTTAACAAGTATATAAATATTGCATGTTATTACAGTGACAAGTACATAACTCACATTTGTCTTATTTACTTCTTGCTATAGTTTAACTAATAATCTAGGTTTATCTATAAGGTCAGTTGTTTTAGCACTATTAATTAATCCTACATCTAATGACAAATATACTAGCGTTATATTGATGTTTCACATTGCTTTTGTGTCTTGACTGCATTGACACTATCGCCATCTCTCTCATTTTCTTTGGAAAAACGGAGACAACAATATTTGTTAATAAATTTCACGTGAGTGGTATCCCACATTAGGACGGTCTTTTTTTCTTTCATAAACATATACGTTACATATACGTTTTTTGTTGTCATGGCGGATTCTAACAAGGTTCTATGTTATCTATTAACGACATTGGTTATATAACGATTCTCGCGCAATTTCTTGCATCGTACAGGCGCGTTATAGAACGGTCTGTCCTCGGCGGTATTTCCAAACCAATACGACTTAGGGACCTTCAAGAAGTGGGCATACCATTTCCTTAAAGGCCGGCAACGCATCTGCAGTTCCTCTGGTGTTGCAGATGTCTATGGGTGTTGAAGATCACCTCGGTGTTCCCGCCGCGCGTTTGCCCCCTAATATAATTCCATGCTTCGATATATTGTAAATTATTTATCCGGCATCGGCTGTCTTTGCTGAAGTAATGTACAAAAACATCAGTTATCAAAATAGGAGGTTGCACTAAGTTCATTTATAATTGGTAATTGGCCATCATTTTATGACTAATCTTACTATTTTACTTCTTACTAATATTATAAACTAAACTAATATAAATGTGAAAGTTTACATGGGTTTGATGAATGGATGTTTGTTTGAAGGTATCTCTGGAATAGATCAACGCAAGATGAAATTAATCATAGATGTAACATAGTCTGTTAGAACATACAGGCTGATTATAAAGGTTTTTTTTTAATTCCGCACGGACGGAGTCGTGAACGACATGCAGTGATGCCATAAATTAACGGTTTTTAGTCATAAAATGTCAGATTGGTGTCTGCTTATCCTCATTGAAGACAAACTGCGGACATAGTGTTTTCGTAAATTAATTTAATTGAAATGCAATTTTATTATTATTAAATAATTTACACGTGTATATGTCACATAACTCTTATGTAAATAATTGTTCGGTGATACATAATGCACATGTCACATTGTGTCAATAAACGGAAAAAGGCAAACGGTTTACTCTACCGTACATCAACGTTATAATAGGCCCAGTATCCATAAGAAACTAGTTGTCGCCCGCAACTACGTCCGCGCGGAGTTAAAAAAACCCTTAGTAGTCTATGTGTTCTTCTAGACTATGTTACATATCTATGACACATTCAATATCCATGAAGCCGTTCTGGAGACACCTTGTAACAACATCCATCCATCCATTAATAATAGAAATAAAATTACATACTTTGATTTTATAGTGTTCTTATCAGATGTACTAATGTGTGTTCTGACTTGAACACACATAAGTTATCAGATGATTCAGTGTTACGTGATAATGTGCCATGAGAAACAAACAAGATCTGTATTATATACGTAGATATTTACATATAAGAAAATTATCATTAATACTGTCTAATTTTTCCTCCCTTCTCCCCCATAATAATGCCATAATGATCGAACATTCGCCACCCTCAATCATTACGCCCCGGCAACCTTGACTTGTCATCAAGTACGTGACGCTCGTACCATAAACTGTTGCGTTTTGTACCTGTAATTCTTCAATTTTTTTTTATTAAATTGTCAAAGATATTATAGTCTGTGTAACTATACCAATGAGACGATTATGCTTTGATGAACTTGATTGGATCATAGAGCTACGAAATAGGTCTGGGAATTAACGACGCAATGGACGCGACATTGTATTATTAGATTAGTGGGGACTGGAATCCTTCATTATATTTCATAATTCATTTTATATGTAATATGGAAGATAATTAAATAGAAATACTGTGGATTTATTTGCGAAATAATGAACTACCCAAACTATAACAAAGCGGTCTTGCGGCCACACAGAAGACAGGCGTGAAGTGGAAGCAATTCCGCGTTTCGTCTGATGAGTTTGCGTCCCGGAGGCCTAATCTAGTCCTCTTTCCCTTCCCACCCTTTTTCTTGTAAGGAAAGGATGGAAAGTGGAAGAGGACTTTCCGGATGAGATGATGCATAGAAAGGGAAGATATTTTCTTTCTGTGCATCCTCTGCTCGGTTGATTAAAGGTAGGCAACGCATATGCAATATCGTATGTCTATGGGTAACGGTCATTTCGCTATTTCAGCGATTTCAAGTGGCCGCTCGCTTTTTTGCCGTCTTATGATATAAAAGTATCCTCAGCCGCACTCACCGTCGTGTAATGGGCACTTAAGCAGTTTCGTAGTGTAGATTTTCACGTACTAAATCTACACTAAAGGATTTGTTTTCTACTTTTAAACAGTTAGTCTAACATTTAGTATGACAACAATAGTATATAACTTAATTGAATACCAAAGTGTCTCGTCTTTATCAACATACATACGTAATCTAAATATATTGTTTGTAAAATGTAATCGATAGAAACTGAAAATTTTCATATTCTGATAACAGTTGCAAGGTCGTTGTTTTATCAGTCAAATAGTTAATAGATATTATCTATTGCTAGGGTAAAATGTAACCGTGAAATTCCATTGCCGAAACACTTGTATCAAAACAGGTTATAGTATCTCTTTTCAAAGCAAATTAGAAGAATTGTAATGTTTTATAAATGTTTTTAGACTAAGGAGACTTACAGTAATGTTAGATTTAAACGCTGATATTTTTTAGTATATTTTCATACTAGTAGTAGCCCACGACTTCGTCAGCGCGGAATTTTAAAAGGTGACATATAATTTTCACCCATAAATTAGCTACCTTTCCGTCAAAGGACCGGTACAATCGGCCCAGTCGTTTCGGAGATTGCTCTAAATAAATGCGGACTTGTGAAAACAGACGTAAAATTTTAAAAATTTGGTTTTCGGTTATAAGTAACGCAAAAACGTGTTCGCGAAATATATTTCTATATAACATACAGACATTCCAATTTTATTAACTTACAATCGCGTTTTTTTTTTCATTTTTTTAAATAAACTCAACCAACCAGCACTTGGCTAGTGTGGTTGACTATAGCCTTATCACCCTTAACTTAGGGCAGGCTCCGAGCCCCTAATGAGGACGAACAGTTGACGAACAGAAATAAATTTAAGCGTCCGTTTATGTATGTATATTATACTCATTAATGTACATAGTACATAATAAAAAAATATCTAAGGTAGTTTTTACATAAAGAATTATATACTTTACAGATAAGGCTTCATTGATTCAATATCACCGTGTTGTCTAAGACTGCCTACTTGGCGGACGAGTATTCCCTTCTTTCTGGGCAAGTGTAATTAACTAAACCAGGTAATTTAAAATTAAAATATAAAGTTAAGAAAAAAATTAAGATAAAATCAGCAAGATAAGATAAGATAAGCCTTTATTCAATCAGCAAGAAATCAATATCAAACAATACCTAATTTAATTCAAAATATGGTCTCTCTAGTACAGTATGTATGTCATAGAACGTTAATAAATGAATAAGTACTTATAATTCTCGAGCAATTAAAGAATTTAAAAACATAAACGAGATATATTGACCTTTATCAATATAAAATTTTCCATTAAATATGTTTACTTATATGCTTTATTTAAAACAAGTTTTATTCGGAACATATTTAAAAGTGTCATTCATTTTAATAATCATACTAATATTAGTATGATTATTATAATAAATGCGAATGTGTGGATGGATGTCTGAAGGTATCTCCATAACGGCATCTATCTGGAAGAACACATAGGCTAGTTGTTTTTTACTCCGCGCAGATGGAGTCGCGGGCGAGAACTTGTGATACATTTTTCAACAAAATAAGTCAATCGACAGTTGCCAAGTATTACCTAATAGTTTTAAATCATACATTTAAATATGTATAAATACTAAGAAAATACTATTTGAACATGACTTACAATGCATTGTTTTATGTATCAGTTAAAACAATCTCGTTTATGTGTTTTACGCGAACTTGTGTTCTATTGAACACAGAACACAAGTTCGTTCGTAATTAACTACATTTATTATCATCACGTTTTCTTCCATGTGTTATAAGAATACATGATTTTGACTTATACTAGCTGTTGCCCGGGACTACGTCCGTACGGAAATAAAAAGAAACTTAATAAGTAGCCTATGTGTTCTTCTAGACTATGTTGTTCATCTAGGCAAAATTTCATCGTGATCCGTTGAGCCGTTCCGGAGATACCTTTAAACATCCATCTAAACTTTCGCATTTATATTAGTAAGATTATAAAGACGAAATATTTGATTGTTTGCATTAAATAGGCTCCGAAACTACAGAACCGATTTGAAAAATACTTTCACTGTTGGGAAGCTACACTTTCCTCCTGTGACATAGACTATGTATTTTACTAGATTGTTTTTAATTCCGTGCGGACAAAGTTGCGGACAACTGGTAGTCATAGATAATTTCATCTTTTGCAATAAATTAAAAACAAACCATATTTTTTTCTCTATGCGTTTTCAAACCACATATTGTGACGTTTTGTTTAAAATACCAAAAAGTATGAATAACATAATTTTTTTTTCTTTAGAAGTAAATATTTTGGACTATTTTTTTTACCTAATGTATTATTAAGATGGGTGTAACTAGTAGCGTAGTACATTATCCGAAATCTGTAATGTAGTGTTGTTAGCGGTCATTGTGTTGCACCAATTGTGCTCCCCTTCATTGGTACAATTTAGTAATACTGCTATCCAGACTACCAACGGAATCCGACGCATCACTACGCACTCCCGAACATATTTAATTTGATTTCTTTTTTAGTTTTGGTTTTTTAATTTTAATAATTCCATTCATCAAAATGAGTGTTTTTTGGTTCGTTGACAATTTTTGGTAAGTTTTAATTAATTATTTTCAATTCAATTTAAAATTTATGGAATTATTAAATATTTATTGCATTATTATGTTTTATTGTGTGTTTTTATTTTATTTCTGATAATAAGTCTTTCCTTTTTTATATAATAATTAATTAATTAAATCGTGTACTAATAAGTATTCTTAATTTTCTTATTAACCTAATTTTTTTCAATAATGATAAAATAAATTTTTATTCATAAAAGGTAATTTTTGCACTTATCTTTGTTTTAATTGGTTAAAAAAATTAAGGTCCTTCGTTTTGGAATCTAGCGAATTCCGGATCGAACTGAATTAAACGGCTGTCTATTCAAAGTACTTAAAACTTGTCTTCAGCCTGGCAAACCTTGCAACCCATTAGCAACTCTATCGTCCTTGTTTCAAGATCCTATATCATTTGGCTCAGTTTAAATAGCCTTTATCCGTTAACTACGAAACTACTGTCTTCCTTTCAGTTATAATTTAGTTTTGACATTTTTGTCTGTCTGTCAGTATGTAGTTTAAGGGTAGGTTTAATTCATATACTAGTAAGATAATATTGGTATAATATATTAATATGTAAAATTGTCTCGAGGCACAGCACATTATGTTATTTACAGGATGTTTCTTTTTACTCGGCCTTTGAGTTGGCACGTCTGACAAAGGATACTATTATTCCCGATGTGCCAAGTCAAATGTATATAGCCAGGCGTCCGGATAATGCCGGACATAGGTAGGCTTTTTGATTACGTCCGGCTTTTGTTAGGCTTTTTACATGTCATTTTTTGTCTTAAGTGTGTCGTGTGTAGGGTGTCCGGCCTTTCTACCCAAATGTCTATTAGATTTGGGGACCTGGCAACCTTAAATGTATACTATAATGGCTGAATCAGTGTCAGGTACTATATTATAATGCATAAAGATAAAATAACACGTACTGTTGCAACTAGATACGATGACCGCAAGCCACGTGACATTTATTAATACCTGTAAAGCGCTAACAAATCTTTGTTTACTACGGTAGTATCGTTATAATACTGCCATATTGCATTACTTCTAGTATTTTGATTGGTAAAATGTATAGATCCATATCCATGGTTAGATCTTGGTTTTTTATTTAGTACAGCTGTTTGTTTTATAATCTTTTTGGATGATTTGTTGTCATAATCAAATTAAAAATAATAACTTTAAGATTTTTCTCGATATTACCTTTTATATAATTACTAGCTGTCGCCCGCGACCATTTCCGTCCGCCAGAAAAAAAACTTATTAAGTAGCATATGTCTTCTTTCAGACTATGTTCTACATCTGTGTCAAATTTCATCAAAATCCGTTGAGCCTTTCCGGATATACCTTCTAACAAACATCCATCTATCTTATATTTTGCATTTATGATATTAATAAGAATACGCTTCAATTTATAAACAATGTAACTAGCATTTTCATAGTATACAAAGGATTTACCCATTGATAAACTATAACTAGAAGTGTTTAGCTTAAACTTTTGTTTTAATAGCATATTGTGATGTTGAATATCTTTCGTTACAGATCGAGCGTACGAGATATCATCGATTACATCCAGCGCGGTTGAGATAGAACCAGATACTACTGACTGAGTACGTCAGCGTTCATATTAATGGAAAACATTGACATTGCCACGTCTATGTTGCTAATGAAGATTGATTTCCAAGCCCTTAAGATTCTGGACTGACCATTGAAGGATATTCTTGGTTTTGCTACACCATTAATGGTAAGTATAGGGGGTGTACCAAAGTCCATGTATTTTTGAGTAAACTCAAAAACTACTCGCTTGATTTAAAAAATTCTTTCTGTAATAAAAATTTACATTTTTTCTGAGTTATACAGAATATATTTAATCTATATCTATAAACCTATGCGAATATTATAAAGAGGAAATATTTGTATTTTGTATGTGACGAATAAACTCAAAAACTACTTGGCAGATTTAATTAATTCTTTTGCCATTAGAAAGCTACATTATCACTGATTAACATAGGCTATATTTATAACTAGATTTTTTTGTTGTTGAAATGTTTTTAGAAGTTAGTCTAATATTGAATTTCAACTACCGGAAATGTTTCAATATGTTTTTATACGGAAGTTTTGGCAGTGGAAACCCATAATAAACCTAATCTTGTTTTACTATCTGATCCGTTTCATCCTATTTGTAGAACTGTTGATTGCGCAAAGCGCTATTTAGTGTATAGTAAGCATGTATATAACAAAGGTCAATAATAAGGCTTTGTTATATACTATCTCATCTTACTAATAATTTAAATGCGATTTGGTTAGACGAATATCTGTAACACATCTGCGGTTCCTCTGGTATTGCTGATGTCCATGGGCGTCGTTGAACACCTCGGTGTTCCCGCTGCTCGTTTACCCTCTTCTGTTATAAAAAAAGTAACTCTAAAACGGATAAACGGATATGAATAAAATTTGCCTCAGAGATAAATTACTCGCGCATGGGTTATGTATTATACTATTAAATATTTTTATTCCACGCAAAGCAAGTCGCGTATATAAACTAATATAGAACTAGCGGAATCTCGCGACTTCGTGCGCGCGGAATTAAAACATAATTATTAGGCTATGTGTTCTTCCAGACTATGTTCTATACGTATACCAAGTATTATTGAGATCCGTTCAGCAGTTTTGGATATACTTTCAAACATACATCCATCCGTCAAAACATTCGCATTAATAATATTAGTAAGATATATTTTAATGAGCTTATCATCACCTCAAAGGCCGGCAACGCATCTGCGGTTCCTCTGGTATTGCTGATATCCATGGGCGTAGTTGAACACCTCGGTGTTCCCGCTGCTCGTTTGCCGCCTTCTGTTATAAAAAAAAAGACATTGGGTCTTTGCATACATGTCGTTCATTTTAGTGTATATTTCTACATCATTCATTCATTTGTCGACTTTTAGAAATGTAATATTTAACAAACAGAACACTCTGAATAAATGTACGAAGAGGAAAATGTTTCTTAACAATTAATATTGTAACATGGATGTGAGAATGCTCTTGCAAATACGTTCCAGTCGTAAAGAGCCAGTAAAAGAAAATTATTTTTAAATATTCATCCTATCTTATTTCTTACTAGCGTAATTATAAATGCGGAAGTTTAGATGTATGGTTGGATGTTTGTTTGAAGATATCTCCAGAGCAATTGCATAAATCTCGCTGAAATTTAACATAGATAGAACATAGTCTGGAAGAACACATGCTACTAATTAAGTTTTAAGACGTAGTCACGGGTAACAGCTTGTTTATAAACTCTGACGTTTATATTTCTTATCTTTATCGATGTGTTTCTTTATTTTTTTTTTATTATTTACTTGCCTTGTACAATCTTCAATAAGGTGTATGTGGACTAACACAATGGGATTCCCTACTTCTATTCCTAACAAAGTGGGGAGAATGGTTTAATATCAAGACTAAATTGCAGTAGCAAATTGAACTGTATAAATCAAAATAACAATAGCGCTCAGGTTGACAATGGCTGAGCAGTCGCAGGAAATGAGATAAACATAATTGACCATTGCAAGTTTACAAGTGCTCCCTAATAGGGGCTTTATTGAAGCACTAGACTATAAAACTATAAAACTACTATCAATTCAAATAAAGATACTGAATAACTTTATATACATTCAAAGATGTTTATTTTAGCCATTTTGGTCAAATGACTTAGAAAACGTAAATTTGCAGTTTTACGTACGGCTCGTTGTCATCTCGAGAGATTTGTAAAATATAGTTCGATACTGTTTCGTTCAACACGTGTTTTAACCTATTCAACGTCGATGAAGGATATTATGGACGTCAATATGGTTCATCATCATCATCAGCTCACTATACGTCCCCACCGAGGGGCTCGGAGCCTACCCTTAATCACGGGTGACTAGGCCATAGTCAACCACGCTGGCCCAGTACGTGTTGGTTGACTTCACACATATATTTGAATTTCTCCTCAGATATGTGCAGGTTGCATCACCATATGCATCTATTTCCAGCAAATTTTTTTAGTGATTTTTTTATTTCTACTATGGCATTTAACGTGTTAAGAACCTAAATGTTTTTGTGTAGAAGTTTCGGCAGTAGAAACAAAATGTTTTTACAAGGGAAATTGTTTTATTGATAACTACAATAAAATGTGATTACTTCCTTATTTGAATCCGCGAAATCAGGCAATAGGCACTATTATGCTTGTTTTTTTCACTACGACAATATTTCGCTTCCGTTTCAATTGGTCATATTTAATAATGCTCTGACTCGTAAGTGTTCTTGAAATTCGCAATAAAGTTGTTTCGCGTTCCGCGGTTTAATTGTCGCCAATATGTATCAATTAAAATCCTTAGCGGTTGACGCGCATTGTGAGGAGGCCCCATGTATTTTGTAAAGACATGTTTCTGATTAAATTCGGAAATTTTTCTAGAATTATTTTTACGAGAGGTTTCTAAGATGGGAAAATGTTGATTTTTTTTTATGTTAAGGTGTAAAAACTTATCATTCGCTTTAAACTCTCAGGTCTTAGAACAAAATAAATCGGTCTTTGGAATTTTTTTTGACAAAAAGAGTAAATTCTGTACAAGATACAAACGACCTTTATATGTATTTCTCACAAAATAACATTTTACAAAAGATAAAAAAGCCTCAGTCGATTCTACTGTAATTTTTTTTCAACACGTGTTGCAGAAATTGTGTACGGAACCTTGCGAAATGACGGCGGTACCTCACGAGCGCGTCTTGACCCGGCGATCGTGCGACCCTGCCGTCCAAGTGCTCCCAATTCCCGACGTCCACACATCGTTCCTCTCTCGCCATTGGCCAGGGAATTAATGACAATATTGCGTTCTTATTCATTTGACCGTCTTCGTACCATCAATTTAGCAATAGAAGTCCGAGCCACCGTCCACGACCGTGCGTTCTCGCCGACTATTCAGTGCGTAGTTTTCAAAAATACGCCATTATCGGAAGTCCACGATCAGAATAAGCGTTCGCAAATTGGCCTTACGTTTATTAAGACATCCTGCCGTGTATAATTTCAAAATGGTGGATTGACGCGATGTTCGTTAAAGACGGCGACGGGCGAGTCACGGCCGCGCTCATATGATATTTCGCCAATATGGCTTGAATATCTCCGCGCAAGCCCCCACTGGACAATTTACTAAGTGATATAGTGCGTTGCAAAGGACTCAAATTTAAGGTGAGGAAATTCGTGTGGATTTCGGTATTACGGAAGCTATTTTCTTCATATAAACTGGTATCTACGAGTGAATACTAAAAGGAAATTTAATTAGGAATTTCTTAAATACAGTTTTTCAGTTTAAATTATAATTAGAGATGGCCTTTCTTTATTGTATGTTTTACAGCTAAAAAGAGTAAAAAACTCTTTTAAAAAAAACACAAATTTTGTTTAAAGAGCATTGAACTAAAAGAAATTTGTCCGTTTCCAGTTTTTTAATGAATATTAGGTGCTGGGCCGTTTAAACATGGCTGTTATAGGCACAAAATTTTAAATTAAAAAAATTATCTTTTTAAATGCTTCTAAAAGCAATCTTTATAAATATGTTAGTGTGTTTTATATGTTTTATACGACTAATTAAATTATTCTTTACTAGCATTTACCTACGCAGCTTGTTAAGAATATTCAGGTTACTACTGGTTTTATTTATAAGATTAGACTTATGCCCGCGACTTCGTCCGCCCGGAATTAAAAAATCTAGTAATATATATAGCCTATATCACCCTGGGATAGTTTAGCTTTCCAACAGAAAAATAATTTTTCAAATCGGTTCAGTACTTTCTATTCAATACAAACAAACAAATCTTCATCATCACTAGCTCACTATACGTCCCCACCGACGGGCTCGGATTCTACCCTAAGTTAAGGGTGATTAGGCCATAGTCAACCACGCTACCCCATTGCGGGTTGGTTAACTTCACACATATCTTTGAATTTCTTCTCAGATATGTGCAGGTTGCATCACAATGTTTTCCTTCACCGTAAGATCGTCGGATAAATGTACATATGTAAATCGGAAATCGGAAAACACATTGGTACATGGCGGGATTCGAACCCAGGACCAGCAAATTGCAAGTCTAGTACTTGACCCCTGAGTTACCGACGCTCTTCCTCTTACCTCTTTACAATATTATTATAGATGAAAAGGATGCGCACCCTTTAAAGGAAATAAAAAGAAACAAAAGACGAGCGACTTTTGCTTGCGCGAAAAAAACAAAAGCAAAATAAATGTTTGCTATTTATAATAAGTCACGATACTTTGGACAAAAAAAAAACTCTACCAGTTAGGACAAGTTTATTCGAATAATAATCCATTTATGGTGGGCTACTGATCGAACCGAAAAAGTGCTTTATCTTTTTCATATAGATTGTGAGTAGACAACTTCTTATGTATTTCAATAGTATAAATCAGACTACTAAAAACAAAATGCTACTAGTTCGTTTTTCAAAATGAATTGTGATTTTAAATCATCGGCTGATTTTTTTGCATAACCAAGTCGAATCTAGATTAACGCGAATGCAATGTTGACAGATTACATAATATATATATGTAACTATATATTGAATTACGTCTAAACATAATATGCTGTTCATTCAGCTGTGTCAGGTGAAATTTAAACATTGCTTCTTAGTTGACGGCATATGTTCAATACAAACGGACCGTAGGTTTCCGATACAAAAATCTTCATTTAAAACATATTGTTATCTCTGTTTTGTCAAAGATAATGACAAGGATGACCATATGTTTTATATAGAAATTTTGGTCTCAGAAACCAACCGTGAGTAACAATGACCGACTTAATTTTTTTATTACGAAAATGTCTAGTAATACATGCCATGTCAACTAAATGGTCAGCAATATAAAGTGCCTTAAATAGAGTGCATTGTGTTGTGGAACATTTTAAATAGTAATTTTGTGTTTAGTAGATATTTATTAATAATTTGAAAGGTGTAAGCCATTAACGTCATTAAATAAAAAAATTAAATATGTTAAAAGAAAATTCTTCAGTGATGTCTGTCTGAAATATAGTGATCGTGTACGTCCGTTCCGTCTATTTATTTGAATAAAGGTATATCAATGATATTTGGTACATTTTTTTAAATACCAAATAGTATATTTTTTTTGTTTTTGTTATAAGTGTTTCGTAGATTTGCTTACGTATTTTTCTTTGTTTACAGGAGCCGTAGCATCAGCGCACAGCCGCGGAATCGAGGCGTGTATTCGAGTGCAACATTCGAACCCGACTCAAGTTCCCACGTCGCCAACTGTGCCCCATGGAGGCCATTCCCAGCCATCAGCGAACGTATTTGATCGGCAATCGTTTCACAAACAAAGTGTTCCCGGGCCTCGTGCCCCACATACAGTACCACCTCTGTCGCTCCAACACAAACATGCTCTTGAAAATAGAGAACGAACTCCTCCAAAGTCACCGCCAAAGAGAGACGACGGGCATCAAAAAGTTGTACAACTCGTTCTTCGTACTCTTTTAATCCTATTCGCCGCGTTACGGTTCAACAAAATCATTCATTTATCATTCATCGTTCATTCAGTGACTTTTAGTGTAGTGCGGGCGCTATGGCCCGGGTGTAATGGAATCGTATGAAGAAGACAGAGACTATACAGGGCTTATTATGCATGAGGGTCGCAAGGAGGACCCGTTCACGTGGGAGTCGTCAGTGAGGCTTACTCTCGTGGGTAGAGAGGAGGAGCTCGGGATGTACCTGGAGGAGAGGGAGGGTCGCAAGAGGAAGTGGCATCAGGGCGACGCCGACAGAACCATGCGGCGTGAGGACGCCGATGAGAAGGAGCCTAGGAAAGTGCCGCCAAAGAAAATTATGGGTACGTATTGTCTGTTTATAAACTTTTAAGAATACGATGTTATGTCGTTCTATGGTCAAAGATTAAGCACGGATGCCGGAAGATTACCACAAACCATTTGATAATATAAGCTGAATTATTTTTAACAAATTTAAATTTTAATGAACTGTTACAACCACAATTCTTTAAACTGGCAGGTTATTTGAAGCTATTATAATCACTACCTACTTCGAAACACAAAGAGCATAATTATTATTATACGATTTCTTCTTAACTTCTTATGAACTCTTGCGTCTTATTACTCTTATTTACGCTAACTTTTTTTAATCACTTGTAGACGGAATGACCTATTTAATATAATTTCATTTATTCAAATTACAATCGTAACAACTAAGTGGGTGTTCACACTCAATGCTATGTTATTACTCGACCAATAACGAAAGACGAGCGCGACAAAGATTATGTAGCGAAGAAAGGTGACATATCACGCGGTGTATTATGCCTAATCCTCTGATTCGCATTACAAACCTTACTCAAATTACAACGCAAACTTTTGGTCATGTTGCTATCTTCTCATTCTTTACTATAACATGTATTCTAAAAAAATATCCATGATTGGTCTGGGTCTTACTGTTAGGAAGAAAATCCGAAAATGAGCCAGTGTATTAACTCAACACTAGCCTTGCTAAAATGTCGACGTTTATGTCCTCTCACATTCATTCTGACACTGGACTTTGTAACGAAAGCACGTCATTCGCGCAGAAGGATGCTAACTAATACTGTCGAAAATTACCGAATTATAGTAGAATATAGACACTTGCAGTTTTCAACTAAGATAAATAAGTCTAAAGCATGAGTTTTTAGCAAAAATATTTATGATCTAAACACATGATAATAAATATAATTATATTTTACATTGCTCTGAGAGACTGTCAACGCTTTGGTAGATAACATGAAAATATCAATTATGTTAGTCTATGTTGATACTGTACTGATAATGGGAAGACAAATTATAAACTTTGGTGTATGACCAGTAACCGGCGCGATGCGGCAGACGGACGCACGCATATTTTTAATAAAACTCCATATCGGAACCGCACTCGTGACCTTATGTGCATTGATATTGTTTGTTTGTGATATTTACTTAATATAACCGTTTATTCTATGTTTCTTAGTGTTAATTTAAGTTTGCAGTCTGTTAGTAAATCTTTATATATATAATTCTTCTGTGAGTGTGTATGTCACTGAACTTCTCTCAAACGACTGGACCGATTTTGATGAAATTTTTTGTGTGTGTTCAAGGGGATCTGGGAATGGTTTAGATTCACAATTTTCATCAAATATTAACTTCGTATTAATTTATTCAAATTAAAGACGTGTAGACAGGACAACGTCTGTCGGGTCCGCTAGTATATTATAATAATTTGACACCTCGGCATTTATATACGTCTCCAACGGGGGTTAAACCTACCCTATGTTTGAGGTTACATAAGATACACTGTATTGCAATGTTATTGAGTAATTAAAGTGAAGTAACAATGTCTTAGAAATACATAGTGATATTTTTGACATAAATTTTTAATCAAATAAAGTGAATGTTATCGTAAAAATTAAACGCACTTTTGTTATAAAAACGTACAAATATGAGAGACTATCTGTGATGTTTATTTTTATGGCAAGATATCAATGAACATGACTCTGGTAATTTAGTGAAATAACCGAATATCGGTCCTCGTTATTCCCAAATCACTACGATTTAGGGTCCCTTAAGAAACGAATGTATCTCCTCAAAGTCTGGGAACCCATGTGCGATCCCTTTCGTGTTGCGAATGATCTCGTTCAAACTTTAATATCGTTCGTAAGATATAAAATATTACAATAATCTCGCTAAATAGTATTTAATTTCTCGCATTTTTTTTTATTCAAAGTTTTTAATTACTTTGCGCATAGAAAATATTTAGTACAGGACATAAGAAAAATTATTAAAGAATTTATGTTATCTTCATAAGCTAGATTATAATTTAAAAATAAAATCAATATACATAATACTATGTTGTTTATTAATAAATTAATCTTGTCTGAAATTATTCGAATTAATAATTGATCGATTGTCTAATTGTGATACCAAATCGATTGATTTAAAAAAAAAACGTAAGACATGAAATACTAAATCCATCAAAGAGAATTGTAACATCATCAAATTGTTTTAATTATTATACATTTACGTGACTTTATTTCTATCAATTTTCAATATTAATTTCTAATAGATGTATCTTTTTAAAAGCACGTATTAATGTGAAGACGAAATATGCAACCGTGGAATTTCATGGATATAATAATTGTAGTAATTGATATTGTTGTCTCTGTTTTTGCAAAGAGAATGTAAGGGATGACATTAGGTGTTTATACTGATGTTCCGACAATGGAAGCCCATTGCACTACGGGATGCAATTCTTATCGAAATCTGACGATGGTTTTTATGCAATGATTTGACACGTACGAATGATATAATAACTTTTGCTACAGATTAATTACATAAGTGTAACCCGCGACTCTGTCCGCGCGAAATTAAAAAAGTAGCCTTCGTGTTCTTCCCGATTATGCCATATCAGTGCCAAATTTAAGCGAGGTAGAACCGTTCTGAAGATACCTTCAAACAAATACCATTTATTCAAAAACCATTATAATCGGTTCATCCCTTCAGGAGCTACGATACCATAGATATACAGACACATAGACACGACAAACTTATAAAATTCCGTCGTTTTCGTGCCAGTTTAAAAACAAGTAAACTATTACCTAAATATTTCACATAAATAAACTTTAGACCTCACTGATAAATATTATAAAATAATAGCTGTCACCCGCGACTCCGTTCGCGCGGGATTAAAAATAGATATTGGCCGATTCTCAGACCTACTCAATATGCTCACAAAATTTCATGAGAATAGGTCAAGCCGTTTCGGAGGAGTATGGGAACGAAAATTGTGATACGAGAATTTTATATATAAGATCTATTTTCATTGATGCTATGTTCTATTTCATTTTAACAAAGTGCAATAATTAACTATTAGCAAATAGCATAGAGTAATTGTAATGCGTAATTTTCATACGGGTAATAAAGTATTGTGCCCGTATGGTTATGTGATGGTTAAGGAAATTTTAACATATAAATATACATATTACATTTATAATATTTTTATATATAAATAGCTATATATTATATATATATATAGCTTTATTTAAAAATAACTTTTATGGCTAATTAAATTTCTATTTATATTATATACTAGCAGTTGCTCGCGACTATTTCCGCGTAGAATTAAAAAAAAGTTCCTTCAGACTATGCTCTACATCCATGCCAAATTTCATTGTGGTCCGTTGATCCGTTCTGAAGATACCTTCAAACACACATACATCCATCTAAATATTCGCATTTATAATATTACTAACATTTCGTTGGAATTAAAAATTTCATTCCTTCTTAAAATATCTTTAATAATAGAAAATTATAATATCGAATGTTGAGATGGATGACTGGATCTTTGGTAGAAAGTACGAGAATGCCTTAACGGATCTCGGTGTTTGACATAAATGTAGAACATAGCCTGAAGGAACACATCTAATTGGGTTTGTTTTTAATTTCGCGCGGACGGAGTTGCTGTCGACAGCCAGTAATAAAAAATAAACTACTATGGTCATATTACTCGTATCATAAATACATTTTGACAAATATTTGTTCACGCGTACGTATTCATACATAACACGTTACATTGTAAATTACTATGCACGTGATCATAATAAAAACAGATTCACGACAATGATTAGAATAGATTGTTTGCTTTTTATTATTTTACTAGCTGCCGCCCGCGTCTCCGTCCGCACCGAATTAATTAAAAAACTATGTGTTCTTCCGGCCTATGTTCTATGAGCCGTTCTGGAGATACCTTCTAACAAACATCCATCCAAATATTCGCATTAATAATCTAAGTAAGATTTCTATGTACGTTCAACAATACATAATATCTGATTCACATCAACCGATGGTCGGCCAATGGTGGCCGTAGTCTACTTACAAAGATCGGGCCATGCAACTTTTATAAATAAATTCCCATAGAAATCAATGTGTGCCATTAAACTGTAGTTTCCGGAAATCCACGGTTAGTCTTTCACCGATTGACCCAGGGCTTCGAGCGAACTGAAAAACTATGAATTCAATAATTCACGGACACACCTTCATTGTTTATCTATAGATTTATTACATACCAAAATAGTATAATCAAATTTAAAGGAAACAAATTAAATTTACACAATTTATTGCCGAATAAAAACTCTTTGGACAGTTTTATTTTTATTCCAGTGATTAAATTGACGATACAAATATGTCTGTCTGTAATTACAGCCCTATAAAGATAATATTATTTAGATATGTTTTTTTTATTTCCATTGAATACGACTATAATTAACACCTCAATGTCAAAGATTATGATAAGATAATATACACAAATGTATCAAAATGCACTATTAAAAATGTTTAATGTTGTCTTTGCAATGATAGGTTTAAGCTTTGTCTAGGAACTACACAGATATAAATCGTATAAAATTACCAAACATTTGGGCGTATTTACATTTTAACTTATTACTCTATTTTCAATATATAGAAATCGACGTCACAAAATCCTTAATTTTACATCAATGTCACAAATAATTATCACCTATGACGTATATCAAGTTATACAACATCGATAATAGTTCACGTTATTGTGTTTTTTTTTAAATTTAAAAACGCCTACTTTGTTATAACATATTTATAATATAATCATTTAACTGTGGGTTTACCTGTTTAATGAGATTGAATGTGGATGGCTACAAAGGTAGAGGAAGACCAAAAAAGTATGGAATGACTGTGTGAAAGAGGATATGCGTAGGAAGGGGATAGATTCGGATAAGACGACTGATAGAGATGTATGGAGGAGTAGTATATACTGTGCCGATCCTCAATAGGGATAAGGGCAGGTTGATGATTTAACTGTAGGTTTCTGAGACTAAAATCTCTATAAAACATATCGTCATCTCTTACTTTCATCTTTGACAAAATAGAGATATGTTTTATACGGGCATTTTGGTCTCAGAAACCCGAGGTTAATGATAATTTATCATCTAAAAGTCGTTTAAAGTGGTTATAGCAACTTTATTGCAAGATAAAATGTTGCAATTATTGGCTATCACTAAGCGAAGAAATAAATAAATTCTGATAATAAGTGCTTAGCTTGTACTATTATGAAAACTGTACTAAGCGTAGGTAAATTAGTAGGTACCGCCTTTCGACCACATCCCCTCTTATGAACAGGTGGATTCGTGGTCAAGCACTAGTTTATTCGTATTAAAAAAAAAACAGTCAATGCGAATTTCTGGCTAAAGTCAACGTTTGTCATTAAAACTAACACAACAATTTCATTAATTATTAACCTAGTTATGTTCTAACGGGGTCATTAGGAAGTTTGCAGCCGCGATATTTTTGCCTAAATCGTTATAATTTTTTTAGACCACTATTGTCGCTTAATTTCATCGAATCCTTTATAAAATACATTTACGTACATGACTTAACATAATAAAGTGTAAAAAACCGAAACACTACCTGTGGGCCGCGACTCCGTCCGCGCGGAATTTAAAAAAATTAAGTCTATGTGTTCCTCCAGACTTTGCTCTACATCTATGCCAACTTTTATTAAGATCCGTTGAGCTGTTCCAGAGATACCTTCTAACAAACATCCGTCTATCAATCTATACTCGCATTTATAATATTAGTAAGATTTAAATTTTAACAGACTGCAAACTTATTGATGTTTTAGTTGTGAATGTGGTACTCTTATAAGATGACATTGAGAAGTAGAGACAAAAAGTCTGACACGTATTGGACGCTACTGAAAGGTGTTGTTTTATGGATGTTACAACAGAGCAGTGTTTTATGACAGTTAATCAATACAATAAAATTAAAATCTAAATAACGAGATACTGATACAAAAGAAGAAATATATAACGTTTATTGAAGATATGAAAATCTACAAAAAAAAAGTTAACTGATTTCAAAAACAACTTAATGCAATAACACCATAAATTGCCGTAAGGCTGAATAAAGAACTGGCAGAAATAAATCTAACAGAATAGTCATCATGGTGGAAGATTCCGCAGCATCACAATCGGATAGGGTATCCGCAGCAGCAGTACTGCAATTCGCGGCAAGAGAAGCGCGAGAGGGTCGTCGGTACTCAGAGTTTGGTGCACACGCCTTCGCAAGCATCACCTATAATGCATATGGTACTAACGACATATATACATGAAATTGAAAATGACAAAATTAAAATGTTTAAGTGTCAACGAAGGCCTTCGCCACTAGCTTGCCTTTGCCATGGCAACCATCTATCTTTGTTGCTATTTTTGTCCCTTTCTCGAATATTTTTTTTTGAAATTGCACACCCCTAAGATTAATGGACTGAAAATATGTAGCTTAAAGCGTGTTGTAAGTTCAGAGTTTTTCCCCGATATAAATTTGTGTTTACGCTTTCTTATATAAGTATTTTTACTTATTATTAATTACAATCCTTTGGCGCGAATGGCGCTTACATTACAAAAGTCAAGTGTCAGAATGATTAGGGAGGGGACATAGACGTCGACATTTTAGTAAGGCTTGTGTTGTGCCAGTACACCGGCACAGTGTCGGATTTTCTTCCTAACAGTATCAAGTAAAGATAATCTTTCATACACCTTACACATAAGAAAGCTGTAATTTCAATTTAAAATACAAAAAAAATCACGTTGAAAGTGAATGTTTCAGAAAAGATTGCTTCGTCACTCCAACACGTTTCGTACATACGAATATGAAATTGCTATAATACTTTTTAATTGGTATTTCGTTATCAAAGAGAATTGTAACTAAGTTGTCTTATCAAGTAAAATACAAGTTAATTCATCGAAAATCATTAAAATATTGCAAACAATATTCCAGTGATTACCAGTTCAGTCGACTGGCATAGTAAAGGTCAAAGAACAACGGTATCGCAGACACGAGCTATTATTGTTCACATTTCATCACCAATAGTTTGAAGTCCAATAAGGAACGTTTACTTGATGCTATAAAAATAACGAATATATATTGATTTATTGCTTTTTTATTATACATATTACTTGCTGTAAATAGTTAATTATCAGACCACTGAACTACTGAATGCATCTTTTCTTTGCCACTTACATTTTTATTTATTGCCGAACAAACATAGTTAATTATTTTAATAATATTGTCGATTAAAGATAGGCAACGCATTTGCAATTGCGAATTGCCTATGGGCTGCGGTCGCCTCGCTATTTAGGTGTATTCTTCTCCGTTCATTCGTTTGCCACCTTATAAAAAAATATTGACATAATGAGATATACAACTGTGTTATTCAGATTCGTTTATTGGTTAATTTAACAGTCCCTAACACACTTCACGACTCTAGTAGAAAGAGAACATTCAAACTTACTCTTAACATGGTGGATATTATGCAGATAAATATTAGATGTGAAATAGAAAGAAGCAATTATATACTCTTTCATAACAAACCGTTCCATTTCACTAGAAAACCGGACAGTATTGATAACAAGTAACCAGTTTAAGACTAGGTTCAGAGCGATCTCGCCTCGTAATTGTCAGCGACCCGACTGATAAACCCTCCTCGTGTATTTAAATGTGACGTCACGTACTGATAATAATTTTGTTTTGCTAATTAATTTTAGAATTAAATCGATGTTATAAGTTATTGGCTGAAAATATTATAGATTTTATATTCAAATTATTACTGTTCTTAAAAAGTTATCGGTTTAAAAACATTGTCTTCTGACTCCAAAGTCTCTGTATAAAACATATCGTCATCTCTGTCATTGTCTTTGAAAAAGCAGAGATAACAATATGTTTTAAATGGATTTTTTGTCTCGGAAACCCACGATAAATCTATTATTGATATTGAAATAAAATTTTATGTGTAATGATTAATAATTTAAATGCATAATTATTTTATTAACGAGTACTTACTAGTCATATTACCTTGCGCTATATTGTATTAAACACTTCATATTTAATCTATGACCAATCCTTGTTTGGATTAGGATGGTGTTATGCAATAAAGGTGCACACAATATTAATTTATTAATTATATGTCTGTTCCAGCGTCTCTTGGGGAGATGGGTGGCAGCGGCACGAGCTCGTCATCCTCGCACCTGTCTCCCGGCTGGCAGGTCAACGACCTCGATCTAGATCTGCCCGGAGAACTGTCAATGAAGTTAGTTTCTTGTATATTTTTTTTACTGGTCTAGCGTGAGTTACTAAGCATATCTGGAATCTCTTACCGATCTTTGTTACATTGATGATAAATAAAATTTGAAAATGGACCATCTAGGGACGAGAAAGCCTTTTCATTTGTATTCTTTTTTTTAAATGACGTACTTTCTAGAAGGCGGTAAACAATCTTACTAATGTTATTAACGCGTATGTTTGGATCGATGGATGGATGTTTGAAATTTGGCATAGATGTATAACATAGTCTGGAAGAACATATAGGCTACTTACTAAGTTTTTTTAAGCCACCTAGGTGAATATAAAGTGACCATTGCTTCTAGTTATTTAACCACAAGCGTATTTGTACGTAGCGAGGCTCTGTTGTCGCTGCCGTCGCTCTCGGTGTTCAAGCAGGAGGCGCCATCACCGACAGGTGCTGTGGTGTCTCCGCCGCGGCGCGCCTGGCCCTGCGCACGACGTATCGACGATAGACAGGTCGGTGCAAAAACAACACATTGTTGAAACACCTAAATGCTCATTGAACATAATTCGTAATCGTACGAACAAAAGAATTCGCGTTAGAGCGAGACAAACGTATGGGAATACAATACGTTTGTCTCGTTTTGATGCGTCTGCCGAATGTTCGTATGATTCCGAGTTGCATTTAAATGAACCCTAAAATACATACTGACATCGCTTTATAGGATTTATGGAATCTAATATTATTGCAAACTATAACAATAAGAGCTATTTATAACGCATGTATGGTTATGACAAAAAATAAACGCTCTTGAAAAGAGTTAAAGTGGGTTTACACTACCGAAGTGAAAACCCACTTTAACTAAAGTGTAATAAGGAAACGACGACAAACAATGAGATATATACTTTTCGTGTCATTATCCAAAAACTTATTATTCTGTGTATTATTTTAGATAACCAGCATGGTGGTGGACAACGTGAACCGCGAGGGTATGGAGGAATCCTGCCAGCAGTCACCGCCACACAACAACGCCGTCATGCCGCATCAATGTGAGTACATATGAGGCTATTGAGTTGGCACGTGTACAACAAGAAAACTCTACTTTCAAACGTGCCAACTTAAACGCATGTTTTTTAAATCAATATTTTCTTTGAATATATTTGTTTTTGCAAATGAACCAAATCTGCAAATTGATGACATGCCATCTTAATAGAGGAGTTAGACAAAATGCATTCGCTTCTAAGCGATTCCATAGCGAACTTCAAAAATGAATGGAACTGAGGTGCGACAATCACGTAACTAATCGAAAGTTATTGTCAGTCCTATTTTGCAGTTCGTTATGGAATCGCTACAGAGCGAATGCACTTTATCTACCATTGTTTGGAACATTACATATAATATTTCTCAAATTTATAAATATATAAGATTAGAAGATAAATGTGCATCTTATTTATATCACACAAAATTAATTATCTCACACTTTGAAGAAATGGCTAATGTTTCTTTTTCTATGTAACAGCGAATAGTCCGGAGATGCAGTGCCAGTCTCTGCAGGCTGGAGCGCTGGTGCCCATGACCGGATACCACTCGCCCGGCATGCACGAGAATAAAAGTGAGTCGTTGAATTACAATATTATGTATTCCGATACTATAGTTCTATCCAAACTTTAAGGCCGCTCGCAATATCGAACATATGTAGGATTAAATTGCGGCAGAACACACAGATATGCACTCTCATGCCACAAGCCGACTTAAAGTATGAAGCTAATAATACTAAAGTGAGGCAAATTGGTCGGTAAAAGCACTTGTATCAATTCTTGTCGTCGTCCCTTTCATTCTCTTTAAAAAAAAACAAAGACAGCAATATGTATCAGTTCAATATACAAGGATTTTCCGATAAAAGTTATAAGTTTTTTTTTCATTTATTTACATAAATATTCTTATTTTTCTACCAAAGAGTTAATATTGAGTTTTGTGTGATATTGTTTCAGATCCAGGTCTGCTGATGTGCTCGCCAGTCAGTTCTCTGGACGGTTTCCTGCACTCTCCCATACAGCGCAGTGAGCCCAGCTTCAAGGATGACACCAGGTACAGTCACATACGTTCGCAGTGTTACACTTACAGAAAAAATCTCGTACGCTATAATAATCACTCAAAACTAGTATAGTGACTCTATAGAGAGTGTTTTTTTTAGTGTAAGACTCATATGAACACTAATGGTTCCGAGTCCGACACATCAGACAGCAAGCTTGTAAAGCAACAACACAAGAAGACAAGCAAGCAAGCATGTCTAACGATGTTTGTTAGCTGTCTTCAAAACGGCACAATGAATATCGTCGAAATTCGGCATAGATGTAGAACATAGTGTGGTAGAAAACATAGTCTACTAAGTTTTTTTTTAATTCCACGCGGAAGGAGACGCGGGCGATAATTAGTTTGCACTAAGTCAGAAAGTTGTAGATATCTTTAAAGAAAAAAAAATGATTAATTTAAAGGTAAATTATTAGATAGTTATACTATTTAAATCTTATATATAAAATTCTCGTGTCACAATTTTCGTTCTCATACTCCTCCAAAACGACTTGACCGATTCTCATGAAATTTTGTGAGCATATTGAGTAGGTCTGAGAATCGGCCAACATCTATTTTTAACCCCGCGCGGACAGAGTCGCGGGCGACAGCTAGTTAATTATAAATATATCTGACAGGTTCCAGTACGTGTTAGCTGCAGCGACATCTATCGCGACCAAACAAAACGAGGAGACACTCACATATCTGAACCAGGGCCAGCCTTATGAGATCAAACTTAAGAAACTCGGAGATCTGTCACATTATAAAGGAAAAATATTAAAGGTAAATAAATATAACAATATTTAAAAATTAATCTTTAAAAATATACTTTCGTAAAAGAAATTTTATCTTTTTCTGAAAAAGATAACAAAACTTACTTGAAAGTCGGTAATGTGATGTAAAAATTTGCAAGTTATTTTACAAATTTTATTATAATTATTCTCTTATCTTTATTTAAAATAATACTAAATATAATAATTTCTATGCAAGTATTTCAGCAATGTAAACCCACACTTAATAATGAATTGTGTTTGTACTACAGAGCGTGATAAAGATCTGTTTCCACGAGCGCCGGCTGCAGTACATGGAGCGCGAGCAGATCGCGCAGTGGCACGCTGACCGACCCAGAGAACGCATCGTAGAGGTTAACATAACAAAAACATATTAAATATATCAAAATACCAGCCTACAGAATGAGTTTCAAGCTTTTATCTGTAAAAATGACGATGCTTCCATACAAAATTTTCAACCCCCTTTTCAACCCTTCACAACCCCTTTTTCACATTAAAAAGCTTTTTCACGTTAACCTATGTCCTTTCTCAAGCTCTGGACTATCTGTGTACAGAGTTACTTTCGTATTTATAATATAATTAATGATTAATTAAATTCGAGTGTCTGTATGTAATATTACGTACATGATATATTTGCGATGCTGCTAACGAAAAACCAATTTAAAAAATTTGCTTGTCTGTCTGTCTGCAAGGCCGTGTTTGTACAGAGTAATCCAGAACGACTGGATCCAATTGATAAGGCTTAGACGCGAAGGTACATAGGCACGCGGGCATATAGGCTACTTTTTTTTTAAAATTTTGCCAACGAAGTCGCGGACGTCTGCTAGTTTGTTAAAATAGACACTGAGGGAAATAATTAAAATCTAATAACACCATACTCGTCAAAATTGGATCAGTTTTTTAGGTTGAAAGCGGTCACAAGAAAATACTTAATACATATACAATTTCATCGTGATGTATGCAGCCGTTCTGGAGATATTTACTATCAAATATCCATTCATACATCTAAACATTCGCATTTATAATATTATTAAGATTTAGAAATGTATCCAGGTGGACGTGCCTCTATCGTATGGTGTGATCAGAGTGGAGCATCCTGCCAGTCTCAACGCGCTGCATGTGTTGTGGGACCCCACCAAGGATGTTGGAGTTTACATCAAGGTAGAAATTTACAACGCCATCTATTAGAAATATATAGAACTTAATCTCTTATAGTTTGCTCTTAGATAACAAAATTAAATTTGTTTCTGTAATTTTAGATATTTGTCAGAACTAATTTTACACTCCACTGTTGCTTGATTTCTTATTTAAATTCTTATGTAAATAAATAATTTCAAAATCACTAACTTGTAGTTCCTGCGAGAAAAGGCTTTTTTTTTAATTTTTATGGTTCCGTACATCGAAAGGAGAAAACGGAACCCTTATAGACTCTTTTTATATATTTATTATTGCTAAACATATTAACACATTCAGTGTTCACTACGTGTCAAAATGTAGTCGTATATTTAGTAGTATAATAGATAAATTTGTAGGTAAACTGCATATCGACGGAGTTCACAGCGAAGAAGCACGGCGGTGAGAAGGGCGTGCCATTCCGCATACAAGTGGAGACATACCTTGCTAGTGATGACGTCACACGGCTGCACGCCGCCGCTTGCCAGATTAAGGTATACCCATTAGCTGCTTAATGGTAGGGCGAGGTGGGGCGACCTCCCAGGGCGCTGGGCGTACGGGGGCGTCGCAAATGGGCGCCTGTGATTCCCCCTAAGATACCCTATTTAAGGAAGGCTAGCTGTCTCCGCGACAACGTCCGCGCGGAATGATAAAAATATTTAGACTATGTTCTATATGTATGCCAAATTTCATCGAGATCCGTTCAGCCGTTCTGGATTTACCTCCAAATAAAAATCCATCAATCCAACCATCTAAACTTTCGCATTTATAATATTAGTAAGATTTCCCCCGATACCAAAAAAGTGGGCGCCGCAAAAATCTCGCCCTGGGCGCCGGGAAATGGCCGCCCTGGGCGCCGGGAAATGGCCGCCCTGGGCCGCCGGCCCTAGGTATACTTTCAATGGTTTAGGATAAACTATCTTTGAAAGGCCAGCAATGATAGGCCTTGGGAATAGGACTGATAGAAAAACCTAGTGAAGTCCTATTTAAAACAATAATTAAAAACTTAAAAATGCTTTGCTAAAAGTACGGATTCATTTAATTTTTTTCTAATATTACTAGCTTTTTTTGTCATATATGGTGGCAAGGGAGCAAGCGGCCATCTGAATTCGCCTAAAGGAGTCGTTTCCATTAACACGTTCCTAATGTAAATAGGACCTAATCGAGGAGTAATTACTATTTTTATATATATAGGTGTTCAAGCTGAAAGGTGCAGACAGGAAACACAAACAGGACCGCGAAAAAGTGCTGCGTCGTCCGCGTGCTGACCACGACAAGTACCAGCCCGGCTGCGACGCCACCGTACTCACCACGGTAACTACGCGGTTATACACAGGATATAACTATCAATACGTAGCCACAAACAAAATGACCACATATTAAATTGCAAACTTAATAATGTTGTCATTCGTAAAATAGTTTCTGTAATGTCACTTAACTGACCTCTATAATAGACTGGCTATACAAAGTTTTATTTTGTGCCTAATTGATCAACAATTTTGTCGCTGATGGTATGGATTTTTGGTATTGGAATGGTCGTGTAGATTTGAACTAATAATTTAGATAGAATTAACTGTCATATAACATCAACAAACGTTTAAATTGGAATGTAGCAATTGGTGGTTGCCAATAGCCTATCCATTTCTACAGATTAGTATTAACAAAACTTTGATGCATATGTTATTATTCAAAAGAAATAAAAATTAGAAATATTTCTCTGTATTCCTATGTACGATTAATATTTACATAGTACATTTGTAAACAGCTGTCAAATGACGCCATGATGCCACCACCTTCTCTGGTCACCACTTCACCTCCGTACTCACCGGAACTGTGGTAAGTACTTATATACACATAATGTAAGTATATAGAATAAAAACATATAATACAAGATTTCTTAAGGCTTGTATATAAGAAACATTAAGTGGACGTTAAAAACAAATTAATAGTTGATTTTCATGGATCTCTTATATTATAGTTTCTGTAAATTTTCAACTAGCTGTCGCCCGCAATTCCGTCGACACGGATTCAAAAATACATAGTAGCCTATGTGTTCTTCAGACCATGTTATGATCTATGCCAAATTTCAGAATAGCGGATCTATTTTAGCGGATTTATTTGTTCTGGATATACCTAATAGACAACCAGACATCTAAACATTCGCATTTATAGAATACGTAAGAATAGATAAAAAAATTACAATTATTCAGTACATGATATACCATATCCAAAGTTACATAGATCTGGATGAAATTTGGGATAATCTGGAATATCAAATAGGTTCAAGGCATCTTATTTAAACTTGGCACAGTCTCGAGTAACATGAGATACATTGTCTTTTTAATTCTGCTCAGACGAAGTCGCGAACAAAAACTAGTTGTAAGATAAAATCTCTGCTAACTATACAGGAAGATCTTTACAATCTCGTCTGATACGTAATCAAGATAAGAACAGGGTAAAAGCAGAAGGGTCGTATAAACCAGTGGACGACCGATTGTATCAAGACTGTAGCCGCGCCGCAACTAACCGGTTATGCGCCGTCGAGGCTCCATTTACCAGTTTCCATGCAACCGCGATGTTTTTAATTGACGATGCATTTACCAGACAGTATATTTAATAGTCATTAGACGTATGTTTGCTTTAAACGACCTTAAACATACTTCGATACTTTTATTAAACGTTTTTTCTTATGTTTATATCTTGCTCCCGTATCGATTCTTATCTTTTTCGATCTTGCTAATATTATAAAAGCGAATGATGAGATATATGGATGGATGGATGGATGGATGAATGTTCATTAGAAGGTATCTCCATAATGGCTCAACGGATCTCTATGAAATTTGGTACAGATATTGATAGTCTGGAACATAGACTACTATTTTTTTTTCCGCGCTTAGGGAGTTGTGGGTCGCAGCTGGTGTCATGGTGATATCGTGGTGATATGCATACGAAGCCTTCAGACAGGACATTACAAAAGCTATGTTTCCTAACAGTTGTGAAAATTAAGGATTGCTTAGTAGTTATCTATGGTTTTTTCAAAGAGAAAGAGAGATGGCTATATTTATATGTCTTTGTACAAGTGGTGGAAAGTTGCAATTAAATAACTTTGTGACGTCATTATGCTGTACTGCTTGATCGTGTTTAGTTACGTATAAAATTGTCCCAGCAATGTGTTAATCGCAGGAAGTACAAACTGTGACTCACTGAGCTATTGTCGTCTAACAGATATACAAATTGGCAAATGCGATGCGCCATTAAACCGTAATCGTAGCTAAGGGCAATCAGTACTTACCCTTGATCCGACTTTTAGAACTTTATTTGAATCAATTACAGAAGACTCAAGCTATTTATAATTAGCAGTTGATAACTTTTTGGTCATGTCAATCTTGTTATGGTCAAATTGCCCTAATGCCGGTAGGTACTGTCTATCCATATTTAAATGACATTAGTACTTTTGTATGTAATATTTATCGGAGTTTGATAATATTTGCCATATCAGTTTTGGAGGTGAGGTTCTGTCTAGACTATGTGTACACTTTTACATATCTTATCTGTAACGTTTGGAAGTAGTTCACGTGAGTGGTTTCCCGTGTTAAATAACATTTGCACCTACGCCTATAGCATGACATATTCAGCAGTTGTTTATCATACTAATAGAATATTCCATTTATTAAACACCGAAACATTAGTACTTATTTTACTAAAAAAAAACAAACCTACACAAAAAAATTGACAGTTCGAAGAAGATCCATTTTTTTTTTAAATGTAATTACGACATGCATAAATATGATAAATTAAATCTTCAGTTAGTATCGTTTTATTTATTTTTAACTAAACAAGATTTAAATTGAACCCAAAGGCTTTAGATGGGATAAAAATATTTCATCATTTGACCTTTCACTGACCCCGCTAGTGCGGTAATTCATTGCAACGAGTACCAATTGCAGCCAACGGCTAACAAAGGCACCTCGCACATTTCACGCTGTAATAGCTAACAGGGTCATTACGGACAACTTTATAAATATCTACCAACCGTGTAATAACTGTATGCACTATTTTTTCTCTCGAATGCATTAAACTCTATTGTTTCTGGTCAAATAGCTGTCAAAATAAAAGGTGGTTTTGTAAGCTGTCACAATGACGTAACGAAGGATGTGAACCAATTTTACGAAAACGATTTATCGATAATTGTGATTGGTTATCAATTACGATTATGTAACACATTAGCTGTCGACTACGACTACTTTCGCGCGGTTTAAAAAAAATACATAATAAGTAACCTTCTAGACTATGTTCTATATGTATGCCAAATTTCATCGAGATCCGTTCAGCCGGATTAGACATACTTCAAACAAATATCCATCAATCCATCTAAACATTCGCATTATAATATTAGTATAATAATATTTTAGAATTACGTATATTAGCGTTATGTCTTGGTTATAATTAAAAGACGTGAAATATTTTTCTAGGCCATAATATTGTAATAAGATGTTATTTAACATTAAAGTATTACGTCGGCAGCTTTTAAAAAAAATGTTACCTCACCACAGTTACTTGTGTAGACTGTCTTATTACGAAACGAATTACGTTACTGTACTGAATGTTTGGGTCATATCGCATTTGACCGAGATTTCAGTATTTGCAATTGTAATAACGGTTGTGCTATTTTCAGAGAACAAGAAATTGAGAAATTACGATAGATTTTTATACAACCAAGTTATATAAATATGATTTAACATTAAGAAATTGAGCAGACATTTATCTGTAATATAAGAAAGAAATGTTCGTTCCCACATTAATGTTTGGTAGTGGGTGTTGACTTTGGCAGGATATGGATACGAGTAAAATTAATACAATAGTAATATGATCTTTGAGAAGTATGATGGATTCGCTGTGATATTAGAAGTAGCTGTAAGGGAAGAACAAGGTTTAAATAATAATGTGATAGAGTTGAAAAAAAGCTTGCTTAGATAGTTTGTACATGTTTAAAGGATGAATGAAAGAAGATTAAAATAGGAAATTTATTACGTCAAAATGAGTGGCGGTGCTGGTTAGAGTCGTCCCAGACGGACGGACAGAATGATGGAATGCTCAAGAACGGTCTTAAGAGCATCTGAAACCAACGTGCATGTTTTGGTAGATGTATGAATGTAGAAGAAGCGAGGTAAGTGTATCAGGACTGCGCTTAAAGCAAGTCCGTAGTCTGTCTACCTCTGAGTTGAAGGTTTCACTTATGTTGTCGTATTAGAAAGGACATAAGTTTTATTTGTAAGAAAACTTGATTAAACCAGCAGATGCCAATCACTGCGTTACCGTCACCAGATTACGTAGCGTGTTATTTGTTTTCAAGTATGACGCTATTGAAAATTTCAAATATACATTTTGTAGTCTTTGAATATTATTGTAGACAAGTAGCTATATAATTAAAATTTGTAGATGTAGGAGTTTTCAACAAAGACTACCTTTGTAACCAGTTCAAAACTGCATATTCCTTACTGTGATAGTTTCTTAAGATATTAAAAATACTATTATTATTATAACCTTCATATATCCGATAGTTTTAATATATTTAAAAATTTATATAAAACTTAATGTACAAACATTTCCCGCTCTGCTACACCTATAATAGCAACAGCGTGAGTGTAACAAAAATATACGGCAAGCACACGAAAGTATCCCGTCCCAGTTTTCATAATTACGCTGCGCTATATTTAGCCTCATTGAATTCGCCTCCACCACTTCCGACGGAGAACTCAACCCGTTCGAAGTGGTTCTGTTTGTGTGATGATTATTAGCTGATACATATTTTGATTCCTTACAAGGATTCAGAACGATAAGGATCTTATATTTAATTTCTGATGCATAAAAAAGCTCTTTTAGACGATAGGCTTTATGAAAGGTAAAAAATGCGACATTGAGACCTGACCATCGACAATATAAATTGCGTCAGTATGACAAACTAATCATACATCATACAACATTGTACTATTTTTTTTTAACTCTTGTTCCAAAGTGTATGATGTGTCATACATTTTGTTTAATTCAGGCCATGAATATTGTTTTTAGTTTTATTATTTGTTTGGTGGTATAAAGCGCTAATGACGAGAGGAGAAACTAAGATTTGCAAATACTAATGTTGTGTCAGGTCGGTTTATTTTGCTACGGCATCATAATAGTGATGCCCGTATCTGTAAATTGCATTTTATTCGATCATCTGAAACCTCATTCGATGCACTGCCATACAATATTGCTACGTCCTCTCTTTGAACTAAATAATCGCCCGACAGACAAAACCAGTTCACACGAGTTTAAAACTAACGTGTTCCCCGAAATTGCATAGAGCGATTATAATATCCGGTTTTTTGCCGATTTGACGTTCATAAACGTACGTATAGTTCATGCATAACAATAAAATGTTTTAATTCTCTGTTATGACCGTACAAGAGCGGTCTTCTATATCTATACGGTGATTTTTTTAATCTTATGGAAAAATGATATATATGTTGTATATTATCGATTGAAAATGTTATTGCCCTTCACTAGTCCGCATGACGTTGTCCAATGCAACGCAAGCCGGGTACGGCCACTGCGAACCGATTCTAACCGGTTTGGATCCAATCGACAAACGCGCCTCACTCAACCAATCAGCGGCCATTCAGCCCAGTCGTTTGCCTTCCGTCGTGTGTTTCGTTGCGTTTTGCTTCTGTTTTCTTGATAATATTTGCTTCTGATATCGTCTAAATTCGTAAACCGCTTTCGTACTAGTGTTATCTTGCAGTATTCCAATACGTACGGTTTTATCCTACACAACATTGAAGATAAAAATAATTTGCAACGTCTTTACCAGTGTTTTACCGCATCTATTTTGGAAATAATGTTAGACAAGTGAACAAAACAGACAGTATTTACATTTGTTAACGCGAGTGCTGTGTGGAACCTTCGGTAATCGTGACAAATGGTTGTTGAGGCGGCCCGTGGACCAGCTATGGTGGTTGTCGGCGGCTTGGCGTACCGCGTCGGTTCCGGAGCCTTTATCTTTTTTAACCTGACGAGACAGGACTATAGCTGACGAGTATTATGCTCGTTCTCGAGCAGAGACTGAGTGCGCGGCATTTGGGGCGCGGGGTCGTTCTCAGAGCTCGGCTGATACATGGTGTCGAAGCCCGAGGTTGGCGGATGAAGTTTTCGTTGTTGAAAGCCGAGGTGGAGATCGAGGCAGACCCCGACACATACAAAGAGCTGGCTCGCCGGCTGAAAGCTGCCAACGTACACGTCAGGCCGGCGCGGCTGTACTCACGGCTAGCGTAAATATCCGGATATTACCGAATTTTACTACTTTATTTTAGCAATACTTTGCCTTTCATTTGGTCGTAGCACTTCAATTCATCTTGTGTTTTGCACACTCGGACTGTAATACGCAAGTATCTTTATGCATTAATAACATAAACATTTTATTTTTAAACTGTCCACATCATAGTGCCAAGTGGAAGATCCAAAAACAACACTGTAAAATAGTTAAATAAGGTGTCTCCTTTCAAAAATAAACTAACATCAGAGTAATTTACAACTACAACATTTGTTTGCTGCTGTTTTTATAAATCAAGTATATGTCGAAATTGGAGTTGATTTTGCATGTTTACTTTATGTTAGGGCATATTGAACTTGTACAATTTTATGACAATTTTTTTTAAATGGTTTTAAAATTAGAAAAGTACCAGGACTTCATAATAAAGTAGTAGTTTTATTGCATTACCTGGAAAAGAAAACTATCCTTTATCAAGGCCGTCTTAACTTCTTGATGTCTTACTTTATTGTAACTCAGTATTCAAATATGCAAGATTTTTTCACAATTTAATAATCCGTTATTTGTTTCAGTTTGGCCCCTAAGTCTGTTACAAGTCCTATGGTGGTGAACAAACCTACACTGCAACAACCTGGTAATTAACATTAACATTTCCATAATACATCATATCCATAATATAAAAAAGAATTTTTAATATATATTTGGGATTACTAAAAATTATAGTTACCAAGATATTCTTTTATCTCTTTTAATTCACTATATTTGTAATAATAATATCTGGTCTAGTACTTTATAAGATAAATATTTATTCTTTTACAGCTATTCTTGCTACAACCAACCAGATGAAACCATTGTATTGTCAAGAGTGAGTACATACTTATAATAAACTAGCCGTAACCCAAGACTTCATAGGTGCGGAATTAAACATGTGTTATTCCAGACTATGTTCTACATGTATGCCAAATTTCATTGAGATCCATTCAGCTGTTCTGGAGATATCTTCAAACAAACATCCATCCATCTATACATTGATTTTTGTGTATTTTTGTTTAGTTTTCACTGCTGAAACATTTACAATACACATGTTATTTCAGTATTGTGTCAATTGTACATTAAAAAAAATGCAAATTAAAATTAGTAACAATATAATGTAACAATACAATGTTGCAATACTGTTGATGTACTGATATAAACTGGTTTACACTGATTGCTCTGTTGGCACTAATGCAAATATAATCATTGTCAGTTCCCGAGGATAATACTACTTTAATTTATTTATTAGAATGTTCTGGCTTAGATCTCTAATACACTAATAAATGTAGCGCTATATCTTACTAATGTTATAAAAGTGTGGATGGGTGGACAGATGTTTGTCATTATGTATAGCAGGTCTTTAGTTGTTGATAAAAATATTAAACAGTATCCTTTTAATACAAGTTAATATTGGTAAAATGAACCAGTGTATTGACTCAACACTAGCCTTACTAAAATCTCAACGTTTATGTCCCCTCACTATTCATTCTGACACTTGACTTTGTAAAGAAAGCACGTTATTCGCACCAAAGGATTCTTATTTATAATGTCTAAAAGTACAAATTTTACCAACCCACACTAGGCCTGTGTTGAATATTGCCTAGTGACTACTAACTTATAAGCTTTGAACCCCTCAGTGTCTAGGTATAGTGAGTTGATGATGATTGTTTTAAATATTACAAATAATAATTTTTCACAGTGGTGGAGATGTGAAAGTGAGCACACCACCGTGCCACTCACCTGACACTATCTTGCCTGATTTGCCGCAGCCAGCTGAGGATCCTGACAAGGTACCCATCTTTATATTCTATGTAGAAAAAAAAATAAAACGAATAAGAAAATAAAATAATGAACATAAAATTTTTTAAGTCAACAGCATCTCCCTGTAATTAACTTTCAATATGGAGGTTGGCTTTGCAAATCGATCTGTTATTTTATTTAGTCATTTTCCACGCACATGGTGCATTTTTGTTATGCTTATGAAATATGGGGTACTATATGTGTGTTTGTTTGCAGAGCGGTGGTCTGTCAAAGGAGGCATCATCAGCGGAGACACAGGCATGGCTGTCGCGACACCGCTTCTCCCAGCATGCCCCCACATTCGCCAACTTCTCTGGCGCGGATCTATTACGGTATGGAGACTTGCACAATTGTTACAACAATTACTAGGGAATAGAAACAAAAAATATTTTTAAATTACCACTGATTTCTAAAGACCTAGCATAATTTTGTTCTTTTTTCAGATTGTCCCGTGATGACATTATCCAGATCTGCGGCCTGGCTGACGGGATACGTCTGTTTAATGCATTACACGCAAAGTTAGTTACAACCAAACTAAAACAGAACTATTATATACAACAGTTTACATAGAATAAGCCTCCCTCTACTTCAGGAGCAGAAATGGGCGTATACTGTATTAGTGTGTACCATCTTTAGGCCATATCACCATCTAACATCCGGTGGCATCATAGTCAAATCCTAGTCTTTATAAAAGCAATAGTATGGTAATACATGTGATATTCCGCAGGCGCATCGAGCCTCGGCTGACGGTGTACGTGTGCCCGGCTGGCGGCGGTGTGTACAGCGCCCTCTACCTGCACGCGTGCAGCGCGCGCGACCTGGTGCACAAGCTGCGCCCCCTGCTGCACCCCGCACACAACAGCCCAGCTGACAAGGTGACCTATTGCTACGTGTTTTATTTCAATTTTCTTAGTTCACCGCTGCTTCCATAGTAGGTTTCTACTGTGGGGACAACCGAAAATTTATTGTATTTTTTAACCAAGTGTTTTGATAATGAAAACCACATATCAAAGCATATTGCCTTTCTGATTAGACATATTTTGTGATATTTTACCAATAAGTGCTGCCTATCTATCTAAAGTACTAATTAAAAAGTCTTGATAGGTTAAAATCATAATTATAACATGATGTGTGACAGGACGGCGACACAGTGCTGGTGCTGGGTCCTAACGGCGCCCGTGTGCGTCTGACTGACGATCTGGTGCGCCACATGCCCGACCACAGCACTTACCGCCTGCAGCGTCTTGACGACGGCACCCTGCTGCTTAGTGCTACAGACAACTGACTATGACGTCGCATCAATGATAACGTGACGTCACGACAATGTGAGGACAACGTAACGTCAATACCAGAGATCTTTACCCGTAGCTGAGAGACGTCAACTTGACAGTGAAATCTTGTAACCGGTGATATAATTTTTCACATCCCCTGTATGTCTTTTAGTATTTTACAAGTATGTATAATTACGAATGGATTCGATGAAGCTTTTTGTAAAGTGGTCAATGACGCCACTGTCGCGGTATGACCGTACATTTAATATGTACTGACCTCTGTTAATGGACAGGCTATAAACCGTGGCATTGTGTGCATATTTGATTCTGGTGCTGAGGATTCGAACTAATAATGGAAAAGATGAACAGGTGTACAACGAACCAAACAATTGCTTAGTTGTAGAGATCAGAGGGTCATATGTGAAAATAATTTTTGCCACTTTTGAATAATTTGTACTGTTATGTTGACTTAAGTTTAATGGCATTAAAGCCTTTATTTTATTTAAGCATCTAGTTATTATGATAAAGCACAGTATGTGCGTTTAATTTTGATTTTGCTAGTATCCAACAATTACCAAACCTTAGTGGTTTTTTAATAGTGAATGAAACTAAGTTTGTTAGTTGTTACTTGTTGTGTTTTAAACTTTATTGTTACCGATATTATTATGTTATAAATTCATCATCCCAATCGTAATCAATTCTTTAACTCGATGCCAAAATGTATAAGGAAAAGATATTTTTAAGAAATGGCTAGATTTTTTTTTTGTTAGATAATAACCTAATACTGGTAGAACATATAATAAAATCTCACAAAAAGTGGATTAAAGAAAGTTAATAAGAAGACAAAAATGGACCAATTTTCTTTTAGCACACATTGATATTTCGATTAGGAAATAATTAATAAAAATTCTATTACTTACTATAAATTAATTGATTATTTCGCTAACTTTTCACCTCATCAAAACAAAACTAACAATTGTTGTAAGTTATTTTAAATTGTCAATTAGAGTAAAAAATTATGTTTTATAATATGAAATTTTTACATAATATATTTGCTACTTTCAACCATTAAATCGACAATTTTTCTCACAAAATTGGCTAATTTAGCTTATTCTATAAATGTTTGAGTTACTTTTTTATTTGAATTGAACATGAGATGTCGATTTTAAATGATATATTTTATTGTGAATGTTATGTAGGCAGCTACAGTTTCCACTATTATTTTAATTTTATTAAGTACATTTTGTTAGTTTAAGTTGATTTAAGTATAGTTACTTTATGGAATTATTTCCATAAGTATGAATTTATTATAATTTAGAATAAGATTCTCGTTTATTTTACGTAATTTTCGTTGTAAAAGTTAAGACCAGTGCCATCTGGTGTCCGGTGCCTTAAACGTGCCTGAGATTTGCCGCTAGTTGATGTACGGAGTATTAAAAATACATATTTTATTAGATTTTATATTACAAATATAATCAAATGTTATTTTGTTGCATGAAATTAGTAGCGTGTAGTCTATATGTGTAATGCATATTGTAAAGTAAATAAATCTATATAAAAATGGTGCTTTTCATTTCTTTATTCATAATATGTCCTTACAGAGATTTTTGTCTCAAAGACCCAAGGTTAGTATTGTAGCTTAAATATTTTATTTAACCGGGTCATAAACCAAAGGGATTGGATAAAATAAAACTTCTGAATTGCAGCTTAATTTTATTATAATATTACAAAGGCACTGTAAGATCGGTCGAGTAATACTGTGTCCAATACAAAATACCTCGATGCCTTCGGTTCAGTTGGAAGTTAGAGCCGCGACTACGGTTTTTTCACGCACTGCCCGCAGTGACATATTTAAGTAGGCAATTTTTATAAAATGTTATTCTTACGATGTCTTCAATATCATAACATCTTTATTACAACCAAATAGTTGTCATTTTACTCAATTTCTTTTACAAATAAAATTAACTAAAGTTATGGTAGGTCATCTTATTGTCAAAATGAAGAGTCACGGCAATATTCTACGGATGTTACGACAGTGTAAACTCAGCGTTAAGATGTTTCGAGACTCATACTCTCGACTCTAGCTTCAAACATACCAACATTGTGATGTTTAACTTTCTTAAAATAAAAACAATATCTATCGCAAAAACAATTCTTGTTCCGACAGATAGAGAATAAATAAAATATTACTAAAGTTAACCGCTTTAACACGTGCGTCTAACAATAATTATAATAAGCTTTTTTTTAATCATTTTTATTTATGTAAACAAAATAATAAGCTAATTGGCAACTGATCAATGATTACATAACGGTCATATAGATGAGTCTGTCAATATATCTAAAATAATTACTAACTTATTATGCATTTCAAATGACATCAAGTACAAATTTATTAAGAAATAATGAAAATTATATAAACCACTAAATTATTTACAAAGCAAGAATTAATCAGAAGCTTTTCTACTCCAAGAGATTAACAAAAAAAATACAAATTAGTAACATTATGGAATTGTAACTGAGAACAAGATGAAAAAATAGGTTTCCACTGATGAAACATATGCAACAAAACATGTTTCTCTATTAAGAAAGAGGGTGGCAACATGTTTTACGATTGTTTAGAAAACAGAACCCCACTATTAGAAGTAAAATATTAAAATTAATATTAAAAAAATAAGTAGCTTCATTTTATTTCAAATTTAGTTATTTTATGTGGCAACACTATTCATACGAATAATAAATTAGTCTAAATATATTGATATTTTTCTACTTATTAATATATAGATATTTTATATAAAATCCACGATTTAAAATGCAAAATGTTATTACAAATGTATGAGTATAAGAAAAACTGCATTGGAATGAATAAAATGCAAGATTAACAAAAATATTGGTCCTAGAAAAGGAAATAACTTCCTTTATATAAAAAGTTATAGTAAATATACATCTAAATGTATAATTTATATAAAAAATATATAATATATTTAAAAAGAAGACATTATTGTCCGTTTTCATTCACAAACATCCACAAACATGATCGTTAAAAACGTCAATATTATGATTTTATAAGAAATTTTTTAAAACTCCATATTATTGCTTTTCAGATTAATTTTAATTTTATGACAAAAATTGTACATTTTAAAAATAATTTAAATTTTTATTTTTAAAAATGTTACGTAGTTTTTAATAAAATGTTCACTACACATTTTGGCAAGTTGGTCAATTCGATCATATAATCTCATAATTAACATTTTAAAACTTATGACACGACATTAAAATATGCACCAGTGTAACATATCAACGTTTAACGGTAGGTTTCCACTGTCAAAATATTCTGGTTTTTTTTTAGGAAAATAAAAAGGATTGATTTTATGTTTAACAGTGGAAACCTACGTTAATTTCTACAATAAATTAGTGTAAAGATTCTTACAACATTTATTGCTTAATATTTTCTAAAACAAGATATGTCTTTATAAAAATATGATTCTTTGTATAAAAGTTTAGAATAACTATGCATTTGGTATATTATTGTGACATTTTCATACTGATATTAAACAAAACAGTGAGAAAAAATTTAATATACAAGACGTTATTGGAATAGTATGGAACGATAGTTAACCATCATAAGTAATAGGCAATTTTATTTGAAATATTTTTATATATAAATTCTATTTACGTTTTGTTCTGCGGATGGAATATACAAATTTAACAACTTATCTTATTTTGGAAATTTATTATAAAGATATTTTCATAGAAATTAAAACACAAATGTCCAGGCAAGTTTGTCATATGAAGGAATGTATAAGAATATATATTTTTATCAATATAGCAAACATAACGGCGAGATTGCAATGTATTGGTTAATGTGGCGATGTTGAATAATATGGCGATGTTGGGTATTGTGGCGATGTTGGATATTGTGGCGATATGTTGTTGGCATTAGTTGGCGTAGTGATGTGGCGGCGCTGGCGCAAGTTCCACGTAGTTGGCGGGCAGCATGCCAGTGCGGCCAGTACGCAACACCTCGCCCGTCATCCAGCCCTCATCGATTGACGTCACATTCGATATGTAATCACCCTCACGGAACGATACCTGGAAATAGAAAAATAAACCTTAATAATAAAAACATAAAGACTTATATCACTTTAAACGAAAGCTTTTTTGATTAGATGATTGAACTACAGCTTGCTTCGGTGATATATCGACAATTGTAGCTACTATACTTATATAAAAGGCGATAACTTTCATCATCATCATGAACCTGCCCTTATCTCTACAGATGGTCGGCACAGCATGTTCTTCTCCATACATCTCTATCGGCCGTCATATCTGTATTAACCCCCTTTTTACGCATATCCTCTTTCACACAATCCATCCATACTTTCTTTGGTCTTTCAACCAAAATGGCGATTTCTTTGTAGTTAATTAATTATACTCACTTCGTCACTATCATTTGCTTCGTAGTCGTACATCGCGATGTACACTCGCTGGAATAAATAATAAGACATTTTAAATGGTTTTATAAAATTATCAACACTTAATTCCCCGTAGTGTTCATGCAGAGCATCGGTGGTTCAGGGGCCAAGCAATCTTGCAATCTGCAGGTCCTGGGTTCGAATCCCGCCATGTACCAATGTGTTTTTCGATATACATATATACATACTTATCCGACGTTTGTACGGTGAAGGAAAACATCGTGATGCTGCACATATCTGAGAGAAGAAATTCAAAGATATGTGTGAAGTCAACCAACCCGCACTTAGCCAGCGTGGTTGACTATGGCCTAATCACCCCTAACTTAGGGTAGGCTCCGAGCTCCTCGGTGGGGACGTATAGTGAGCTGATGATGTGTTCATGCATGTATTGGGTTTTAGGGGGTTTTTGATACCTGATTCGTAGGTTGATGGTTGTTATTGGAGCGCGGCTGCTCGGCGGCGAGGGGGTCTAAATCAGTGACGCGTCCGATCTGCCGGCTCTGTTGTTGCGTCGCTTGCTGACCTCCTGCTAATATAATGACATTGTCTACTTATAGATTTTGCTATTGATTAATGCAGTGTTAATGTTGTTACGTTAATTTAAAAAATACAGGAAATTCATCTTTCTACAGTACTTGGATTATAAATTAGCTGTCCCGCGAAATTACAAGAAATTAAATAAGTCGTCTATGTGTACTTCCAGACTTTGTTCTACATCTATGCAAAATTTTAGCGAGATTCATGCAGCCGTTCTGGAGATTCCTTTAAACAAACATCCATCCAAACATTCGCATTTATAATATTAGTAAGAAGTTATATTCTGTCAGACGGAAATAAAAATGTCTTATAAATCAATGTTTGTAAACTTGTGTGTAACAGAATTTATTATGAATATAATATTATTGCACCAACAACAAACCAATATATAACATAAAAGAAAGCACACACAGTGATATTGTGCCAGACAAAAACCAACAAAGTGACCAAAACCTTGTGGAGGAAGCGTGACAAAAATCTCACACAATAATTAAAAATAAAATAATTAAAAGTGACTTATTAAAGGCAAATTATAATTTAGTATCTTTATATTTTTTCTTTTTTTTTTCAACTAACTTTAACGCTAAAAGAGGTTAAAACAAACTCGACCTTTTTTGAAGTTGTATTTCTATAAGAATAAGATTTATTGCCTTTATTTATAATTTACCTCCAAAGCTTTATTAGTACAAACCTCTTTGCTTGCCATCCCTTGTGCTGTTGTATATAACAGTCGCTGAGGCGTGCTGTATATTGGGGGGTGCACGCGGACCGTCGCTCAGGGGATCGTAATCTTGAATCCTACCAATCTTAGGCTGTGTGTTCGCGCCGTAATTCTGAGGGTACTGACCATACGCGTATTGATTCCCATGATTCTGGTATTGGTCTGATACATCATACTTCTGGTATTGGTACGAGTATTCTTCCTGTTTTTGAGGTCTGTATTGCTCTTGGTATTGTCTGGGTGTTTGTGGTTGTTGTGGTGGTTGGTAGTGGTTCTTTTGTGGCTGGTTTGGTGGTAGACTCGGTGGTAGCATTTCCGTTGCGTAATTATCGATTTGTTGGTGATAATTGTCGTTTGTAGCGACATCTATACGTAAGTGGAGTTCGGAGAAATATGAATTAGTTACAATGACACAAAGCGTTATGTAGACATTACAACATTTATTGCTTCAAACAGATTGTGTACAAGTTATTTTATGATAAAATAAAATTTAACATATGTGAGAAAACAACGCAGTTCACAATCTGTCCGATTATTATGTTACCAGAGAACCAAAAATTGTGCAAGTGAAATTGTAGCAAAATATTTCAAAATCTAAATTAGATTTTGAAATACGATTTCCTTTAAAAGATGTAACAAACATTTCACAATTTCCACGATTTTAATAAACATAAAACACAAAAACCAAACCCCCAAGTGCTGAATGACATGATTGTGTAATGATATGACGAAGATCAAAAATAAATCCGCAAAAGACAAAAGTAATTAGTACTTTAAATTTCTTTTGGACAATACTTTTATGTTACGTAATACAGTGAAAAGACAAGTAATATTATGTTCCAACATAAATTAAAAACTGTCATAAAGTCTTCTAAGTTGGCTTTTAGTTAAATATTATCTTATGTCTCTATCATTGCCTCTTTATAGTACTTACCAACTAACTCTCCATTTTCGTTGATCTGACGCTGCTTCTCCATGGCCGCTTTCTTAGCCAGGTCGCCGTGGTACGCCACGTTACTTATTATTTTAGTGTTCGCTTTGATTCTTAGCGTTTCTGGGTCATCTGCTACCTGAAATGACAAGACGAGACTTAATAATCAATCAGCATTTTTAAGGGTTCTGGAGGGAAATAATACTATGCGAGATTTAACTCAATAAATTCCCTTAAGGTTTTCTAATCTTATATCCTAATTCGTACTTAAATATAATTTCCAAAAAACACAATTAAAAAAAATACCGAGCAAAGCTCGGTCATCCAGGTACTGTTTTTAATTACCTTAACCAAAGATGACTATACAACATATCGAATATCTCCAGACTATATATTAAGCATCGTGAATAATATAATTTTTATTCAACGATTAACTAACATAAAATGAAACGCAATTTTACGGGAGATACATTGTATAAGAGTTCAATATGTCTGATACCAATAATTTTTAGGGTATAACAATTTAGTAATAGAGAGTTAGAGAGATAGAGTCTTAACATCATAGCAATAAGGTCGTATATCGCATACCTGTGTAAACTTGCCCTTACTCTTCTCGAAGTCTGCGTGATACTTGACGTTGCTCTGAATCTTTGTGTTCTCCGCTATCCGCTTCAGCTCCGGCGTCTCCGCCATTGTTGTGTGTTTCGCTTTTGGCACGTGACTGAAATTTATGGAGAAAATACTGTACAGTTAGACTTTCGTAATTCTCGCTCCCTAAGTATAATCTTTTTTGTAATCAATTAGGCCCAATTAGCATATTGTTAAAATTCAAATTAGGGTTAACTTCCCGTGAGTTTCCGAGACCAAAATCTCTGTATAAAACATATCGTCATCCCACTCTTTGATAAAACAGAGATAACAATATATAAACGGGGATTTTGGTCTCAGAAACCTAACGTTAGTAATTTAAAGATATCAGTTACGTTTTTAGAAAACAATAAGTTATCGAATGCGTTAATAAAGAAATATCTTCCACCGAAGCTAATATAATAATTGTCTTTATTAATATTGTATTTATTACTCGTGAGATGTTGATGCAATATGCATTCACCAATACAAGGATATCGGCAAGGTCTTCAATAAAAGTCGACACATCGGATAATCCAATGTTGCAACATTAACTGCAACTTATTTTTATATGTAGTACCATCCAAATTTTTTGACGGCTTTTAATCTGAGACCGAACGTAAATTCTTATTGCTATTGGAGTTTATAAATAGTAATATTTATCAATAAAGCTATAACCCTACATATTAACCTGTTTTTCTTATCTTACTAATATTATAAATGCGAAAGTTTAGATGGATGGATGTTTGAAGTTATCTCAGAAACGGCGCAACGGATTTTGATTAAATTTAGCACAAATGTAGAATGTTCTATGAAGTCTGGAAGAACACATAGGCTACAAGTTTTTTTTTTTAATTTCCGTATGGACAGAGTCACGGGCGACAGCTAGTATTATCTATAAATGCGAAAGTTTAGATGGATGGATGTTTGAAGTTATCTTCGAAACGGCGCACCGGATCTTGATGAAATTTGGCACAAATGTAAAACAGTCTGGAAGAACGCATAGGCTACTTATTAAGATTTTTTTCAATTCCGATTTTTTAAAACATATATACATACTTTTTAGGATTTCAAACCTTCATAGTCACAAAGTAATAATCAATTAACACACTAATCATTACTTAAGCAACACAATGTCATGTTACTATGACATAACTAATTACGCTAACATAAAAACAGTACGTAATTCATTTAGTACGCAACGTGCATATTGATATTGTTTTGGAACTAACGTTAATCAATTATCGACCTTTGGTTACACAGTTAGAGTTGAATTTTGATTTAAAAACAAGCTTGTTACACTTATAAAAACAGGAGAAGGTTGTAAATATTATCCGACTTATTTAAGTTGGTAATGTTTTTATGTATGTAAAATGCCTGAACCTGTTTCGACGAGTACGTTGTCATCATTCTATTCATATTCTTTCACGAAATGTCATAGAGATAAAATCTGCTGTTTTTTGTTATTAATAAGCAAAGAGTGCAGTCAAAGTGTGTGAACCTACGGACGACCTCCATAAGCGAGAAACTAGGATAAGAGAAACCTTTATAAATGAGAAAAATATCGCGGTCCCTTGAACTCAAGCTTATCCAGGTTCGACTGTACATTAATAAAGCAAACAGTACCATGGTGTATGTAACGGAAGCGCAATTGTGTAATCTTTTTATAGTTCGTTTCGCTTTCGTTTTCATTGTGCGCTACGTTAGGAACTAGGTGAGTGGACACATGTAAACGGCGTAATGTAATCGACAATGGAACGTGATCTACACATAAAAAACTACGTTCATGAATGCTGATACACGTGAGGGATTTCATTTTCATTTTATGATTCAACGCGCAACGGTTTTGAAGTTTCTATGTGGGCTTACGACGGATTTTCCCAGCGTCTCCCTTTGCTGTATTAGATATTCTGAAGCCCCTATTAAACGAGTATTAACTTAAATCCGTGTTTTACCGGACACAATATAAAATAGATCAAAAAGCTTATTGTGTTTTTTCAGTTTTTTCCAACCAAATCGGCTCGCCCGGTGAAATACCACGACCACACAGAAGACAGGCGTAAAGTGAAAACAATTCCGCGTTTCGTCTGATGAGTGTGCGTCCCAGAGGCCTAATTTAGTCCTTTTTCTCTTCCCACCGTTTTTCTTATAAGGAAACGATGGGAAGTGCAAGTGGACTTTCCGGATGACAGGATGCATGGAAAGAGAAAATATTTTCTTTCTGTGCATCCTCTCCTCCGTCGATTAAAGGTAGGCAACGCATATGCAATTGCGTATGTCTATGGGCAACGGTCACTTACCATCTTGTAATATAAAAAAAAGATATTTTTTATGAATAGAAGGAAAAACGTGTTTGTTCTCGTATGAATCATACAAATAATTACCGAGTCGTTGTACTGATCTGAAACAATGTGGACGGTGATCTGTCAACTACATGAGTAACGCAATTTACAACTGATTCATACATTACTAAATTATATTTATAGTTTTATTACGTACGTACACGTATGATAAGATCATCTTATATATAAAATTATTATGTCATTATGTTAGTTACCATACTCCTCCGAAACGGCTTGCCCGATTCACATGAAATTATGTAAGCATATTGTGTAGGTCTGAGAATCGGCCAACATCTATTTTTAATCACGCGCCGGACGGAGTCGCGGGCGAAAGCTAGTAGTATGATAAAGTTGATGTAATTTTAAGAGCAGTTTAGATGTCAATAGATCATCATCATGACAATAAAAACGTAATTTTAGACCTACAAGGATACATCTCACCCGTTGTACATAATTTAATTATGACAGCTCACTAGCGCCGTCTCTTAAGGTCAAAAAAGTGTCACAAGATTATTTTCGTACTGTAGCTGTCATTTCATAAGCCATTTGTACTTTTTAAGCCATATGTAGGATGTATATATTTTTTTATAATTATAATAGACAAAACTAACATTTAATTTCAATTCCAAGTCGAAATTAAGTAAAGAGGAAACCGTTATATTCGTCTACATATTTCAATTATTTCATTTCAGGGACAAATGTGCAGTTTTTGGAAAGACATATCAACTTTGGCTTCTGAAACACAATGCTTAGACCTAGTTCAGGAATCAATATTTTTTTTATAAGAGTAGGGGCAAACGAGCGGCGGGAACACCGAGGTGGTCATCCAGGTTGTGTAAATAAGATTTATTTCTTTTCAAATTCAAAACAATTAAGTTTCTTAAATGATACGATAAGGATTATGATTACTACGAGATGAAAGTTAATAAATAATTCAGCGTAGGAGTTGCGCACGATGTAAGTGAAAACGCACGGCCGGACGGCAACGATCCGACTCGCTCCATCAATGCCCAGGCGAGTGTGACTTGCATGCCATTGTTAGCGAGAAATGGAAACCCTCGTTATCCGACAAACTGATAAATGTGAGAGTTTGTTCTAATTGTTTATTGACCTGGTTTATTAAATATCATTCATTGTATCTTACATCTTACTAATTTTACTAATATTCCAAATGTGAATGTTTAGATGGATGGATATTTATTTCAAGGTAACGGCTGCATGGATCGGGATGAAATTTGACATACATATAGAACATAGTGTGGAAGAACACATAGACTACTTATTTTTTTCAATACCGCGCGGTCGGAGTCGCGGTCGACAGATAGTTCTGGATAAAAAGGTGGCGGAATTTTTAAATCGTACGGTAACTTAGGCCACATCTGATAGTTTTTGCATGACGATTTTGACCTAACCTCAAAACAAACACTATGGTGTGTGATAAAACTGTAGTGTGTTATGAAACTTAGTAATTCCAAAGCCTGTATTAGACCGCTATCTATGTTTAGGGCACGTACTTCATCAAGTACTGACTCCAAAACACAATATTAAAATGTCAAGATTATTGTATTAGGGTTGAATTATTTTTAAACAAAAAATAATGTTAGTACTTACGCTTCGCAATATGGCAGTTTGCCGTAGCCCTTGTAGGTACGCATATTGAGTGTCATGCCACATTCCTGGCATTTGAAGCAACCTTTATGCCACACCTGTCGACAAACAAACATTCTATTATATATTTGCTAACAAAAACTTAACTATTAGTAATTTGTGTCAAAATGTAAAAAACATAATTACAAAATTCCTTTACTTTATGATAAAATCAAATTATATTTTTGTCGTCAGAATTTTGACCTCAATTAGAGTAACCTTATGCTAGTTAATACAGACGAAGACGTCAAATAAAGTATTAATCATCATCAGCTCTCTATACGTCTACATTGACGGTCTCGGAGGCTACCAAGTTAGGGGTGACTAGGCCGTAGTCAAGAACGCTGCCTCAGTGCGGGTTGACACCACACATATTGTGTTGTGCAGGTTGCAACCCGATGTATTCCTTCACTAAAAGAACGTCGGATAAATGTACATATGTAAATCGAAACATATTGGTATATAGCGGGATTCGAGCCTTGGACTTGCAGTTTACAATTGACAGACCGTGAGTTTCCAAAACAATAATCTCCGTTTAAAACACATTGTTAACCCTGTTTTGTTAAAGAAAATAATATTTTTCATACAGAGATTTAGGTCTCAGAAAAACACGATGAGAAAGGTTTTTTCGCAAACGGTCCCCGGCCCCGACCGGCGGAACAATGCTACAATTAAGCAACAGACCTGACATTCCCCAGAGTACCCGACACAGAGAGGTATCACAATTGTAACCGTGGATTCCCACTGCTAACACATTCATACAAAAAACTATTGTCATCTCTGTCATTCTATTTGATAAAAACTGAGATAACGATATATTTTGTATGGATTTTTCGGCAATGTAAGCCTACGGTAAGCTTGTTACAATGTAAGCTGTCATAACTTGGTTCCTCGAAAATTTTAATGCAACACAACCTGAATTTGACTCAAACTCTTATGTTTGAAAATGTAAAGATCAAAGAAAAAATATGTTTAACTTGACCTTGATTATAACAGATTAGCTCATCGATATTCTACTTTTCTTCCAATGTCTGGTTTTTATCTAAATCTCAGACTAATTTATACAATATTTCTGAATTTGTGTATTTAAATGAATTTTTAAAATATGTATAGCATTGGATGATTTTTATACTCTATCCAAAATAAACATGAAACCAATTAACCAATTTTCCTACGCTTTCTTAATATAATTAATGTTTTCTATAGCTTGCTTTACTATATATTGTAAGCTTTGATACTTCTTATTTTCAGCCATATGTCACCCAAAGATCGCCACGACGATCGGTCCTCTACAACCCGCATCCAGGATACTGCCGCAACCTTGAGCTTATATCGAATAAGCTTCGATTAGCAATACCAAACTATCTACTATTAGACATTAGAATCCATTGGCGTGAATGGCGCGTTTTCATTACCGAGTCAAGTGTCAGAATAGTGAGGGGACATAAACGTCGACATTTTAGTAAGGCTAGTGTTGTGCCAGTACACCGACACAGTGTCGGATATTCTTCCTAACACTACATAAAGAATATCGACAATCTGATTGTGAATAAAGCGTAGGAAATTTGGGCACAGTTAACTCATTGGATACGGCTAGCGAAACATACGACCGAATTCCTCTTAGCCTCGTCACGCCGTTATGTAACATTGTCCATTGTGTAATCCGTGATTTGTGACGTCATACCTTTACATCTTTGTTATTATGTTTTTTACTTTAAAAACAAATGCGAATGTAAACTCTCCAAAAACATAAAGGTATAATTCGGTTTATCTTTGGAAGATTTGAAGTGTCAGTTTAACAGTAGGCAAGTATGATTTACTAAGCGCATGTAAAAACCACGCAGTACGCACTTAATTCACTGGAATTTCCTGCTATGAGCAATAATCATTCTAAATTTGTCTTGTGAACGTTACGCAGTATTTATTAGGATCTGAACAAACAACTACGAACAGAAAATCTAATTTTATATAGAAACTAGTTGTCGCCCGCGACTCTGTCCGGGATTAAAAAATAGATGTTGGCCGATCCTCAGACCAACTCAATATGCTCACAAAATTTCATGAGAATCGGTCAAGCCGTTTCGGAGGAGTATGGGAACGAAAATTGTGACACGAGAATTTTATATATAAGATTTGATTCTTCATATATATACAACTACATAAAACTTCATACTTCTACATAAAATTAGATAAAGTACTTGAACTTTCAAGGCATCATTCATAATACTTAATTATTTATAGATATTATAATATTTGGTAATATTATTAATATATATATATATATATAAAATTTTCATGTCACTATGTTACTTACTTACCATATTCCTCCGAAAGAGCTCGATCGTTTTAATGAAATTTCTTTTACACATTCAGTAGATCTAAGAATCGGCTACTATCTATTTTTTAATCCCGCGCGGAGTCACGGGCGACCTATAAGTATGAAAAACATAATAAAGTCTAATACACAGTAATAATTCGTAATATTGCATTTCTAATAGAACATGGTTACCTACTGAATATGTTTGACCCGCGTCCGCTTACGTCTATGTCATCAAACCTGACCTACCATAACCTAAGAGTTTAACTTTCCAATTAACTAACTATACAAATTAACTGCGGCACTCAGAGACATTAATTTGTGTCTAAGGGACACAGGACATTAGTTGACACAAAGGATAATTTGAAAATAACGGTTATTAGTATTCTAAAATTAGATTTTCCTTGTTTTAGTTAAACCGCTGTAGACGTGTATATTTGTATACAATATACAATTGTATACAGATATAATAATGGTAATATTGGAGCGTTTGTATTTAACATCAAAAAAATATAAACATATTTGAATCTGTCTGTCTATCCGCAAGAACGCGTTATTACTGGAAGGTGACTTATACTAAAGTTGTCCCTTTGTTATTTACTAAACCTATGATAAAAATAAGCTGCGGTAATATAAACGCTATTAAACTTTCTTATCATAGATTACCGTTCATAACATATTTATGTCTTTGTTTAATGCAAAGAGAATGATAGAGATAGCTATACAAGTGTTACAACAGTGGAAACTCACAACCACAGTATTGCGGGACACGGTCCATATCTACCGTGATTGCTTACCTAGGCTAACCTCGCTTTGGACATAGATAAACTAAAAGCGAAACTAAAACGTAACGGAGCTTAACAGTTCAGTAACACCACTAACCATCGTTTAATTAACATTTAACACAAATAGACAAACATTTAAACAAAAAAAATAAGTAGACTGCCTTACCATAACGCAAGTTAGGTTTTAATAGAAAAAGACAAGACACGAGTCCTATAATGCTATTTAAAATAATCCTATTTTATTGTTTTTATGACTAGACATAAACCAAAATATTAAAAGAAAAAATTACTTTGCGTAACAACTAAAGGGACTAAGGCAGTAAAATTATAAAACAAATATGAATAACTAAACTCACCTTGAGTCGTTGATATAATATTCTCGTAATTTACATATTTGGTAGGACAGATTAACTTTCGGTTATGTCAGTGGCGCCGAGCCTCGGACGACCTTAGCGGCGCCATCTGCGTCTAAATGGGGTCAGCACGGTACAGTCCTACATCGTTGCTTTCTAATCGAATGCAATCTCAATTTTTGTAAATATAATCTTATAATGTTCAGATTTAGAAGCTGTTAGATGGAACGAAACTCCAATAACAAAATTAAGAATTTAAAAATGTTTTTATCCTAATTATAAGGCCAATGCTGGCCATGTACACGTCTACATCATCTACATGTGCTCTGAATAATTTTGTTTTTTTTATTTGCTGGAATTCGTATTTGTTTTTTTTTGTTTTATATGGACAATGAGTCTAAATTAAAAAATTATTATTATTTTAAGCAATTAGTTTAATTATATCTTACTAATATTGTAAATACGAATATTCAGATGGTTAATGGAAAAATCTGGCAGCACACATAGGCTACTAACTTTTTTTAAATTCCGCTCGTACGGATTCGCGGGCAACAGCTAATTTACTATGAAAATCAGACTTCAACGTTCTCATTGATGTTTTAAAGACAAATGGCATTAATAGCAGCATATAGCAGAAATCAGTAGCTTATATTATAGATAAGTTTAAATAATTACATCTATTCTCTGACTTCTGTCCTTACCAATTTTATTTAAATAAAGTTAAAGAATTTGTTCAAGGAAAATTACAAGTTTTTATTATAAAAGCCTGACCTTAATTACTACTTAAGGCAATCTGAAACAATGGAACAATACATTTGCACCAAATTGAATTATTCAATCGATCAATGCAAATCACGATTGCATTGACTAGGGTGTTTATGAAATTGGAAATGATTCAGGACTTTTTTAACAAGTTTTTCAGCTGTATACAAAAACTGTTAGAAAATGTTATAAAAACAAACTGCCTAACTGATTTTATAGTCGGATTATAAAATTACTACTATTTTTCAAAGAAATATTATGGCGGTCATATGATTTTTTTAACTTGAATAAACTAGCAATTATTAAAGCGGTTTATTTTTAATAAAGAGCTGAATAGCTGCAAAATAATGGTGACTCTACACTGTCACGCTATGCGAATCCCGCGCATTGACTTCATCGCTTCACTGAACCTAAACATTGACTTTTGGACTTATTGCCCTATGCTCATTGGCGAATTTCACCAAACGTTTGTAGGCTGGTTTAAAATTTAATCTTACACGACGATTCTACGGTTTTAAAATAGAGATGACTTTATTATAGTAGCTTACGCTAGAGAAATCATCATTATCATCATGTCCCCACCGAGGGGCTCGGAACCTAACATAAGTTAAGGGTCACTAGGCTATAGTCAACCACGCTGGCGAAGTGTGGGTTGGTTGACTTCACACATATCTTTGTATTTCTATTCAGATATGTACAGGTTACATCACAATGTTTTCATGAGCCACCGACGCTCTGGACAGATAGAGGAATATAGACATTTAAATAGGTTCACGTAAACCTCCCATACGTCTTTATACGTCTTCTAATCCTATAGTTTATGTATGTTTACTTCATCTACT